GTGACAGTGGTAGTGTTGTGACAGTGGTAGTGTTAGTGTTGTGACAGTGTTAGTGTTGTGACAGTGGTAGGATTTGTGTTGTGACAATGGTAGTGTTAGTGTTGTGACAGTGGTAGGATTTGTGTTGTGACAATGGTAGTGTTAGTGTTGTGACAGTGGTAGGATTTGTGTTGTGACAGTGGTAGTGTTAGTGTTGTGACAGTGGTAGTGTTAGTGTTGTGACAGTGGTAGTGGTAGTGTTGTGACAATGGTAGTGTTAGTGTTGTGACAGTGGTAGTGTTAGTGTTGTGACAGTGGTAGTGTTAGTGTTGTGACAGTGGTAGTGTTAGTTTTTTTAATGAACGACGAAGTTCATAAACCAATATAAAAGTTTTCCTATAAACTTTTTTATGACAACGCCTTTCTAATTCCTTAGTGAAATTTTCTGCAGTTGTAGCTTTTGATATCAAGTTAGGTTAACATTCCATTTCTAGTTCGAAATAAATTGGGTTTTTTTGTTGTTTTCCATTAATCAATTTGATTATATAACAACCAGTACTATTAGATAATGCATTCGGATTACAAAACATTCAGTTTGCACTGAGGGGTAAAATTTTCCCTCTCCCTCTGAATCAAATGGACTATGACTCGTGTTCAGACCAAAGTTGCAATCCCTTGGTACCACTACATCTTAATCGTCCACTTACATACACTTTCATAGCAATTATCATGTCCTTATTTGAAATTCATTCACTCGTGTTGAAGAAATATTTCCAAATTATATCTATTCATTAAAGGTTCTATAAAGAAATGTGTCACCCTTTAAAATGTTTTCCCAAGTTGCTTTAAATAGTGGTTTAGATAAACAAAAACAAAGTGACATATATCTCACATTCGGTCTGGCCTTCACAGTCGGATAGGTGAACGAGAAGTATTTTTTTCCCCGATTGATGGACAGTAGAGCTTAACATACAAATGGCAACCGTTTTATTTTCATCAGTGAGGTCTTGTGGTCGTAATTAGGTAATCAGGTGTTTTACCATACGTGACTGTGATTAATGAACTGACAAGACAACTTTATAAACTGTCAGTAGCGGGTTATCAGTACACAGCTGTGTACAATCAATCCAGTTGAATGTTAACGTAATCAGGCTGTTCTAAAACAACAAATAATTATCATGCAGGTTAGAAGTAAAAAAAAACATTTAATCACTGTCACTTTAATAAGGATAACTGATTTGCCTAATGATCACTATAATTGATGTTTGACATTTGTTGAAGACTTACCATAAAAATTGACGGATTTGAAATGTTGATTATAACAACATATCATGGTGTACGTTTGGTTTGATGTATCTATTCTCAGGATGTCAGGTTGCGATTTAGATAATACTCTCTCTTTTTAACAAAGACGACTGGGATTCGATTCCCCGATCAGTCGTGATAAAGTAGCCACCGGTTCCATACTGAAGTACGGTACGCATTAAATCGACATGAAATCACACAAGCTACAGTTGAAATATTTATGGTACGGCAGTTTTTTTACGTCCCCTGACACAGTCTCGTGGTGCCCGTTGCAATTGCCTTTGTCATGTGTCGTAAACAATTAACATTTCCGACTTCTTCCACAAAACTCCCAAACAGAATTCAGTGGAAAAACCTTTCATGGCCAACGGTAAAATATAACTGAATGTTTGTACGCTTTCACTTCGTAAATTGGTACCGTGGTATTTTATATTTATCCTGTATTAAAACACACGTGATTTATATAAATCGGTACGGCGGTACTTTATATTTATCCTTTATCAAAACACACGTGATTTATGTAAATTGGTACCGTGGTTTTTCATATTCATCCTGTATTAAAACACACGTGACTAATATAAATCGGTACGGTGGTATTATATATTTATCCTTTATCAAAACACACGTGATTTATGTAAATTGGTACCGTGGTTTTTCATATTCATCCTGTATTAAAACACACGTGACTAATATAAATCGGTACGGTGGTATTTTATATTTATCCTTTATCAAAACACACGTGATTTATGTAAATTGGTACCGTGGTTTTTCATATTCATCCTGTATTAAAACACACGTGACTAATATAAATCGGTACGGTGGTATTTTATATTTATCCTTTATCAAAACACACGTGATTTATGTAAATCGGTACGGCGGTACTTTATATTTATCCTGTATTAAAACACACGTGACTTATATAAATCGGTACGGTGGTATTTTATATTTATCCTTTATCAAAACACACGTGACTTATATAAATCGGTACGGCGGTACTTTATATTTATCCTGTATTAAAACACACGTGACTTATATAAATCGGTACGGTGGTATTTTATATTTATCCTGTATTAAAACACACGTGATTTATATAAATCGGTACGGCGGTACTTTATATTTATCCTTTATCAAAACACACGTGATTTATGTAAATTGGTACCGTGGTTTTTCATATTCATCCTGTATTAAAACACACGTGACTAATATAAATCGGTACGGTGGTATTATATATTTATCCTTTATCAAAACACACGTGATTTATGTAAATTGGTACCGTGGTTTTTCATATTCATCCTGTATTAAAACACACGTGACTAATATAAATCGGTACGGTGGTATTTTATATTTATCCTTTATCAAAACACACGTGATTTATGTAAATCGGTACGGCGGTACTTTATATTTATCCTGTATTAAAACACACGTGACTTATATAAATCGGTACGGTGGTATTTTATATTTATCCTTTATCAAAACACACGTGACTTATATAAATCGGTACGGTGGTATTTTATATTTATCCTTTATCAAAACACACGTGACTTATATAAATCGGTACGGTGGTATTTTATATTTATCCTGTATTAAAACACACGTGATTTATGTAAATTGGTACCGTGGTATTTTATATTTATCTTGTATTAAAACACACGTGATTTATGTAAATTGGTACCGTGGTATTTTATATTTATCCTGTATTAAAACACACGTGATTTATGTAAATTGGTACCGTGGTATTTTATATTTATCTTGTATTAAAACACACGTGATTTATGTAAATTGGTACCGTGGTATTTTATATTTATCTTGTATTAAAACACACGTGACTTATGCAAATCGGTACGGTGGTATTTTATATTTATCCTGTATTAAAACACACGTGATTTATGTAAATTGGTACCGTGGTATTTTATATTTATCCTGTAATAAAACACACATGACTTATATAAATCGGTACGGTGGTATTTTATATTTATCCTGTATTAAAACACACGTGATTTATGTAAATTGGTACCGTGGTATTTTATATTTATCTTGTATTAAAACACACGTGACTTATGCAAATCGGTACGGCGGTACTTTATATTTATCCTGTATTAAAACACACGTAACTTATTTAAAATCGGTACGGTGGTGTTTTATATTTATCCTCTATTAAAACACACGTGATTTATGTAAATTGGTACCGTGGTATTTTATATTTATCCTTTATCAAAACACACGTGACTTATATAAATCGGTACCGTGGTATTTCATATTTATCCTGTATCAAAACCTAAGTGACCTTTGATAAATTGGCACCGTGGTATTTTATATTTTCATCAGAACACACGTGACTAAGGTAAATCGGTACGGTGGTATTTTATATTTTTATCAGAACACTCGTGACTTAGGTAAATTGGTACAGTGGTATTTTATATTTTCATCAAAATACACGTGACTTATATAAATTGGTACGGTGGTATTTTATATTTTCATCAGAACACACGTGACTAAGGTAAATCGGTACGGTGGTATTTTATATTTTTATCAGAACACTCGTGACTTAGGTAAATTGGTACAGTGGTATTTTATATTTTCATCAAAATACACGTGACTTATATAAATCGGTACGGTGGTATTTTATATTTTTATTAAAACACACGTGACTTAGGTAAATTGGTACAGTGGTATTTTATATTTTCATCAAAATACACGTGACTTATATAAATCGGTACGGTGGTATTTTATATTTTTATTAAAACACACGTGACTTAGGTAAATTGGTACAGTGGTATTTTATATTTTCATCAAAATACACGTGACTAAGGTAAATCGGTACGGTGGTATTTTATATTTTTATTAAAACACACGTGACTTAGGTAAATTGGTACAGTGGTATTTTATATTTTCATCAAAATACACGTGACTTATATAAATCGGTACGGTGGTATTTTATATTTTTATTAAAACACACGTGACTTAGGTAAATTGGTACAGTGGTATTTTATATTTTCATCAAAATACACGTGACTTATATAAATCGGTACGGTGGTATTTTATATTTTTATTAAAACACACGTGACTTAGGTAAATTGGTACAGTGGTATTTTATATTTTCATCAAAATACACGTGACTTATATAAATCGGTACGGTGGTATTTTATATTTTTATTAAAACACACGTGACTTAGGTAAATTGGTACAGTGGTATTTTATATTTTCATCAAAATACACGTGACTTATATAAATCGGTACGGTGGTATTTTATATTTTTATTAAAACACACGTGACTTAGGTAAATTGGTTCAGTGGTATTTTATATTTTTATTAAAACACACGTGACTTAGGTAAATTGGTACAGTGGTACTTTATATTTATCCTCTATCAAAACCCATATGGCTGAAGTAAATCGGTACAGTGGTATTTTATATTTATCCTCTATCAAAACCCATATGGCTGAAGTAAATTGGTACAGTGGTATTTTATATTTTTATTAAAACACACGTGACTTATGCAAATCGGTACAGTGGTATTTTATATTTATCCTCTATCAAAACCCATATGGCTGAAGTAAATTGGTACAATGTACGCTGATACTTTTTAATAAACCTCTACAGCAACACGTGTCTCTCACGAATATGCACGTGCATTATAGTACAAAAGCTTGTGTTTCAAAATAAAAATCACGATAAGGTCACAGGTCATAGACTTTTTTTCTTTATTTCTTTGTTTTTACATGATTTTTGTAACAAGTAAGTTATTGTATAAGTCCAGATGATCAATGTACAAGCTGGATAGATAAGGAATGACTATACAAATTCATAATCCTAGCTTATTTACAATTAATCCACAGTAAGTCAGTTTCACAATTCCTGACTTGAAGGAAACTTCAACAAAATGTACACTATTTCATTTCCTCCTGGATAAAATACATTTTTGACATACATCCCATTAAAACTAAAGACACAGCGTCACCAGTACTGTAAGACGTGGGATTATGGACAAGATTTATCCATACATATGTGGTCAGATATTAGCCACACATGAAATTCTCTTGTGGTCACATAAAATATACTCCTTTATCAAAACTAGGTAGAACATTTGCAAAATTACTTTCAGAATCAAGAGGCATAATAAACAGTTACAAGATATTTCTTTCCTACTATGAATTACATATTTTCGACAGAAAGACAGTCTAATTTCTGTAAGGCCCCAACATCTCTTATACAGGGCCCTAATAACACCAAAATTAGAATTCATCAAGGCATTGTGGATGAGGGTTTCCTTATAAACCTCTCACATGTCAACTTTTTTTAAAGTTCAAGTGAATGAGTCTGTCATCAAACAAATACAGTTACTGTGAAGGTTTTTATCGGTGGTTCTAATTTTCAATATTTTACTAAAACTTTGAAGCAAACATGAAGTATTTGTCAGGGAAGTCATTAAACAACTCTTGTTTTCTCTCTTTAATTTCAAGCTTCAAAAATTCTGAATAACAATATCCCTAAAAAAATAACACCTCCTAGAATAATATTTTCCTAACAAGCTGTCACAGCCAAGACCCCTATACATATAGAATATAGAGGATGCTTCTAAGAAACTGAAGAAATTCACCGGAAATATACTGTAGATTAGGACTTGTGGGGCGTGGGCGTGTGGCCTGCATCCACAAATGAATCGGAGAGAATGTACAAAATGGTAAATTTTATGTGATTATAATTCATGAAAAATAAATAAGCTATCTTCTACACTAAGTATGACAGTGAATCATTGGCGATTCTAAACAAAATTATCTGTAGTAGCTAAAATGTTTAAAATAAACAGCTGGTCTACTCAACCAAAATATCAAGCCGTTAGTATACACAAACCTTAATGCTTTCATTTGTTTATACATTTTTATACCAAGGAGTGAAATGTACTGATTAGATATAGACTCTGGTACCAAAGCATGAAGCTGACAGTACGACAGGATTGTAACACACATGTAATCAATCATCACTGGGTTGGGTACAGGAATCTGGTGACAATAAAGGATAACAAGTATCCCCAGTTTCATTAATCTTCCTTAACATAAGGAAATCTGAAATTCCATAGGAAATCATTAGGGGGTACCGGAAAAACTTCAGGAAAATTTCTCAACTTATATAACGCTTTCCTATGGACAATTATAAGTTTAGGAAAACTTGGGGAAGATTCGTAAAACTGGGGCCTGTTTGTGATTACAGTGTTAAAACTTTCCACATACTGAAAATATGTTTCTTTGTTTGGTCCCAACCTCTATCATGTAATGACAGATAAGTTATCAATGAAAGTGATGCCACAGGGTTTGGTTAACATTACAGAATAAAACAATGATGTCTTTTTTCCTGACCAAAGAAAGATAAGCAGTATTGCAAACTTGTCTGATTTTATCAGATCAACCTCACATTGACCATATCACGACCACGCCATGTCGTGTGAATGCCGGGTATTTTATCATTTTTGATCGGTGCTTAAATTTTCAAAACCATTTGTTCAAAGTTTGAAAATGGAAATGATATTTGAACATGGTACAGAGCATTATGTAAGTAAATATAGATGTTATAGTGATAACAATGAAATTGACTTTCAGATGATATTTTAACAGCTAGGAGCAGATCATGAATCTCTGCAGATTGGCAGTTCCGGAAAAATTTTCAAAAGAACGAAATCAAATGATTGTCACATATCTGATAAAATTCTACTGTTGATTCTTGGAAAAGGCGTCATTAAATAGTGATAATTTGTACTAAACCCTTTTATCATTATTTTGAACAAATAAACTTTGTTTAAAATAAACAAAAAATAACAATGGACAGATGTGCTTCTACACTTACAAACATATGACTGAATACACTGAACATCAAAAATGAATACCTTTGTTTCTGAATTTTCTAGATTGTCAATAAAATACTGTAAAATTCTAAACTTTCATGAGCTATATTTTCTCTCTTTTTTTGTGGGCATTTCTAATCCACAAATTATGTGTAGGAATAAATTAAGGGTTGAAATTAGCTGAAGAAGATTTCCAATTCATCACCAAAATAATGTGCCCATAAAAAGTAACATTTATGAAAAACCAGGAATATTTCAGTGGCAAAAATTCATATAATTTTTCAGTATGCAGCCAAAATCTACAATAAAAACTGGACTTCATTTATTCTAGAATGCCCAAAAATATTGAGAAATAATATTAAAACAGAATATAAATAAACTGATTATTAAGAAAACTTAATTGATATTTCAAATACAAAAGGAATTGCACAACACCTTGGCAAAGTCAATTTATTATGTAAATGCCCATTCTGTGTCACCAGTGGCAAAAATGTGTATTAAATTTACAAGACATCTAAATCAGATAGGAAATGTGTCTGATTTTTTAGTCAGAGCAAACTTTTCCAGGGGACAATATGTTGGATATGACAAACAGAACTATTGAATCATTAATACTGTAAGATTATATATTTTCGTGGGGCTCAAGTTTGGTGGTTTTCCAAAAATATACATTTTCATTGGTGACGTTGATCACAAAGTCCAATATAATGAACATGTTTATCATTTCACGGAGATATGAATTCACAAATTCAATGAAAATAGATCCCCACAAATAGAATGATTACATTTACAGTATATTTTCATGATTTCTGAGAGTAAATCCAAGTCACAGACACTTCTGGTCTTACAAATATTTAAAACTTTCCTTCCTCCCTCTTAGTCTTTCTCCTTAAACATTCATCACATGAAATTAAGCATATCTTTAAAGTCTTGTATCTCACCAGACAGAATAACAATACCAGGTCATATGATTTATTTCAATCTTGCATGCATAATGTGCTGTAATTATGTTAACTTGCGTTAATTGAAAATAGAAAGAAAAAGCTAGAAGATGCCTAGAAGACACAAAATCCATGAAGAAAAGCAGAATCTGGCCAGGTGCAAGATTTGATCTTATGATATTTGGAGTAAATATGACCCAAATCTCAAGAGATGACATTGATCCAGAATAAGACATGACGGTAAGTGAGAGAAGGGAATGAACAGATATGGTGATCACTACATGCCCCATCCCCCTCCCCACCTGCCAATTGAATTTTGTTCAACAAAAGTACCGGGTACATCTATCTGGTACAAAACAAGAGGTGTCCTGAACATCTGAATACATTTGTTGTGTAAGGTTTGTTGTGGTTTAGACTCCTCAACAGTTTCTGACCTTAAACAGATAGGTTAGAGGTAAGTTATAAACACATTAAAATTTCACAGATCTTTTTCCAACTACAGTCTACTATTACCAACAACTTCTGATTTTAATGGAATTCTCATACGAGAAATCTACACCATAAATGCACAACTTTGTGGACATGCTTTTTGAGTGTATTTCACACGTCGTTCTGTTCCCAACACAGCCATCAAAGGAAACATTTAAACAACCTTGTCTGGTTACCCTCGAGTCCATGAAAGCCTGGGTCATACCTTCTGAAGTGGTCGATAATGTAAAGTCAGATCACCTGTTTGTTTCCAATAGAAATGTTTCACAGTTCTTAGGTCCATGCTAGAATCAAGAATCTGAAAAAAAATGAAAAATAAATCTTAGTTTTCACAGTTTTCTTCTTGGGGTAATCTCTTTTGTTTAAACACGAGGCGAAAAAGATCTGCAACACTCAACTAAATATTTTAAGTGATTATCATGAAGTCAGTTATGATACAGATTTGACTCTTTGACATCAAACTGCTTATACTATTAATCATTCTAGGACTCACTTGTTTTAAGCTTATACTGACTTGCTGTTTCACGGTTTGTTATACACTGGCTCTACCCGATATCACACCCAAGCTATAAACAGTTTTACAGTTGTTTAATGACATGGTGCTAATATCTAATGGTTATCAAGGTTTAAAGTGGTTCATGGGAGTTAAGTTTAGTATATGTATCAAAGTAATGAGGAATACATTTCCTGAGTTTTGTTTTATTCATGTAAAAAATGTTTGCTAGGTAAAATATTGTCAGTGAAAATTCAGTGATTTTCATGGGTGAAAATTTCGTGAATTTCATGTGTATGATTTTTGCAATTTTTGTGAGTTTTGCGATTTTCTAACAAAATGGTTGAATTAATATTAACTACCCTGTGTATATAACACCTTAATACCTGTTCATTGCATATTAACTCCACTTTTTCCTCAGCCACGGACGACAGATCTGGCTCCTCTTTTTCCACTGGCTCTGCACGCTCTCCACCAGCACTATTGGTTTGACACCCATTTTCTGACCCTTGACCTAAGACTTTTTCATACACATGTTCTATCACTTTTCTCACTTGGATCATATCACTGGCTGAGAGCCTGTCCCTGAGGAAACAATACATAACAGAAAAGTCATGATCACTGACTGTCCTATGGTTTAGCCAATACCTTCAATAGGATGTTTTGTGATATCTATTTTTAATTGGTATAATTACTTGTACACAACAACTGATTTTACAGGAATCCATTGAATTGAGGCTAACATACATTCTTACACAAAGAAAAGTTAATGTTGAATCAGTGCCTCTTTATATCAAATTCAGGAGAGACTTGTTCTCTAACTACAGGGGAGGTAAATCCTGTACACTTTTCAGCATTTAACTAAAGGAAGCATTTAACCTTCTGTTCTCTAACTACAGGGGAGGTAAATCCTGTACACTTTTCAGCATTTAACTAAAGGAAGCATTTAACCTTCTGTTCTCTAACTACAGGGGAGGTAAATCCTGTACTTTTCACTTTTCAGCATTTAACTAAAGGAAGCATTTAACCTTCTGTTCTCTAACTACAGGGGAGGTAAATCCTGTACACTTTTCAGCATTTAACTAAAGGAAGCATTTAACCTTCTGTTCTCTAACTACAGGGGAGGTAAATCCTGTACACTTTTCAGCATTTAACTAAAGGAAGCATTTAACCTTCTGTTCTCTAACTACAGGGGAGGTAAATCCTGTACACTTTTCAGCATTTAACCACAGGAAGCATTTAACCTTCTGAATTATTGAAAAGAAAACCAACAGTTTTTGGTACAATTTCCATGACACTTCACTTCTAATATACCATATAGCTGGTCATTTCCACAGGTCAAAATTTTCGTACTTTTCTTTTAAAATGATCAAGTTAAATTTCAATGGAGTACAATTTCACGACATGGTTTTTCAATGACGACTTGTCTCATTATTTCACAGACTACATTAAAAATTTTCTCTACAGCTACACAGTTTCAACCAGCCAAGAGTCACTAATGTTGAAGTAAAGCTTTTTGGTGTGAAAATATTCCTGTTTCTGCAGTAAATTAAACTTTGATCATGTGGCTCACAATATACATCTATACAGAATGACTCACACAATACTTACTTTTTAATGGTTTTTATCCCAGTACTCGGGTGAGGTTGAAGGAAGAAAGGAATTTTATTAGATTTTGGTGCATTTCTCTGTAAAATACAAAGTACATGATTTATTTAAAATCACTCCTTAAACGGCTTATTATCTAATCTAATGCTATAATTATTGTTGCCACTGAAAGATCCAATTACATTTAGCCAATAAAGTTTAAACAAAGCCCTAACTTAAGCTCGCTAGAAATTCAATTCAATTCTGAAAGAGCACCACAATAAGATGAAATAATTCAGAACATTGATGAGCATCTTTGTCAACTAAGGAGGACACTGTAGTACTTACATGTACAATAACATCAACAACCCAAGACGGCACTGTTTCATTTAGCAGCATCTGTTCAGTCTCTCCGGCAGCGTCTCGACACAGCAATCGGAATAACGTTCTACCTCCAATCTCACTAGAATATACCAAACCATTGTACATTTAAAAATCATGTGACGTTCTACCTCCAATCTCACTGAAATATACCAAACTATTGTACATTTGAAATTCAGGTATAGGTATTGTAACTCAACGTAACAAAAAGAAATCACCACAGGTTCTCATCAAGGTAATGTGCTAACAAAGTCATTACATAATTTCTGACCTGAAAACAACGAGTAATAACTGGTCACTTTTTCTATACTTAAAGTTTGGCAGGCAAAGTTAAACACTTCACAACCTAGATCCTATACATGCTTGTAATTCAGTTTTTTTATATAAAATAAGATTAAATTTTCAACATTTGTGTATATATAAACATCCAGTTAACTAGAAAATATAAGTAAGACATGAATGTCTTTACTCCTAGCATAATCTGACCTTTGACCTTTCAACACTGACTGATGACCTCCTTAATATCATACTGTTTAACCTGACGTGGAATATGAACCATATCTGTTGAGAGGTTCTCAAAATATCACATTGACTTGGGATGTAACATGACACTGCCTCCATCTCCTGAAAATCTCCCAAAAGTGGTTGTGGAGGCCTAAAAAACTTCTGTAGATTATAGAAGGTAGCCTTGCCTAAGTTTCTACAAAGTACTTTAGTCATTACCTTAGGTCACTTCAGCAAGTAATGATTAGCACTTCAAAGCTAATAAATCATGTTTTTTTCACAAGTCTTTCAATAAATATTCTTGTATCTTTAATCTGGTAAAGGATATAAGGAAATTCACTCTATACAGTAGGAACTTATTAACAAAAGACAGGCAATATTAAGTAAGGCAGAATCTACTTGCTTGGTGTTTTTGACATTATACTTACCAGAAGATGACAGGAGTATGGCCTGGAACCTGAAATAGTGGTGCAGACTGGCTTTTCTCCATAATACCATTCATACCCTCTGTGAGGAAACAAATTACTTCATAAAAAATTCTAACTCTTTATTCACATAGCTTTTTTCAACGATGATCAATATTGATAAAATATTAAGTTTTTTTCTAATTTCTGGATCATAAGTGATTTGCTATTACACAATAGTCCGGGCGCTAACAAGACTTAAGGCTATCGTTAAAAAGTCATAACTCACCAAAGAAATCTTTGCAATGAAAATCAAAAGCAAAAACTGCAAACTTAAAAACAGTTTGCAAAGGACACTTTCCTTCTGAGTTAGTGAGTAGTCGTAATCACTTACCTTGGTTTTCATATACATGTGTTTTAGGCCAGTGTTCCAGCAGTGCCTGAAGGAGTTCTTGACCAATGTTTACTGCAACAAAGAGAATTATTACACATGTTATACTGGTACATGATCAACAAAATATCTATTGCAGTTTCTACTTTTTCCCAATTTGCAACAACCAAAATGACCTTATAATACAAATCCTGATCCCTAATAAGAGCATTCTAGAAAGATGTCAGTTCCATCTGGGGAACTCGGAAATAGAGAAATCGCTGCTGGTACTGGATGAAATGCTGATTATCATTAATACTGTTTTATTTACAGTACTTCTCTTGGTAGTTCCTGTTTTTACAAACCTAGTCCCTCGGAGTTAATTTTCAGACATGCACTAGAATAGCCTTATACTCATCTTGAAAAATTTTCACAGAAATTGTGATTAGAAAAACATTTAGTAGTCCTTATTGTGAGTTAATATTGTACATGCATTAATGTTGAAATCAAATGCTAAAACAGGGCTCTCATACCCCATTTTGGGACTGGGGCCCGGGGCCCTTAGAATTGGGAAAAATAACGGCGTGTTCCTAAGAATTTAGAAAACTTGGGATCTAAATTGGGAAAAAAACATACCATTTTGCATTGGGAATGGGGCCGAATATCGGCCTCAAATCTGGCAGATCAAGAGCCCTGTAACAACTAACTTAAATGGCAGTAGGTACACATATTTCTAAAAATTAAACATATTTCCTCTTCATGTGTGACAGCCCCTCTGACTTACTAATATCCCATGCTCTGCAGTCAACTTTAATTCTCCCCAAAAAAATTACAACATCTTACACAGATACCCTAATCCTCAATCATGCCATTCTCCAAAGCCCTACTTTTCCAATGATTACAGTACAGTGTAATATCTAAATTTTGGTTAATCAGAATCCTCCATTGTATTTCCATGGTAACAGTTCTGAAACATCTAATAAGTTATATGATAGGTTACACCATTTTACCATGTTTGAATAAAATTGATTGAACACCTCAGGAGTTCTGACCAGCGTATAATGACCACGTTACCATGGCAACAAGGAGTTGTCTGGCCTAGATTTCTCCCAACAGAGGCCTCCATTCCATTACCATGGCAATCAAAAAGTAACCCATATTTTCATAAATAATACCATTGTCTTTGACATCTCTCTTAACTTCTCTATTACCCATCTTCAGCTTTACAGGACAAATCTAAACTTCCACCAGTTAGATGCTTCCAGTGCATTTCCATGGTAATGGTTTTGGAAATACCTGATACACACAAAAATAAAGTGGAGATCCCGGAGATATCTTGGTGTCTACCATCAACGGCAAACAAAGAAGGGGTTTGAAAGTCCACCATCTGATGGTAATGAGCTGTTAAGGAGAGACTAGGTGTACTTACATTTAGGGTCAGTTCCTTCTGGGGTCAGTCCTGCTCCTAATTCCCGAGACGACATCCAGGCGGCAAAACAATCAGATTCATCTAAGTGTATGGTGAGTAACTACAACACAGAATTGACTCTTCAGCTTAGGTGTGTTAGTTTGAACAGAATAATAAATTTTGACTGATCAAAGTAGACTATTACCAAAGATAGCAACATAAAAACACTTTGTAGTAAAAATTTGTAAAACATTTGCTCTTCACCTGCAAATGATTCTTTAAATCTGATTATAACCAGATCTAAATTCCACTCCATACATGTATCCTCATTACATTAAGCAAAAATTGCAAACAGCAAAAAGGAAATGATTATATTTAGATATTTAATTTGAGACAAACATATATAAAGGGAGATAACTCCCTTTGTTTTATTCCGATCAGATACAAATTTATCTATTTATTTTACAATACCCTATAATATGCAAGAGACCTTTTTGCAGCAGATTAATTGATGGCTCTTATTATGCAAATTGTAACCTTTGATTACATGGTGTCTGTCTAAAGTTTCTCAATGTGTAAACCTCTAATATTGTTGAGTACTATACACCTAAGTCTTTACTAAGACTTATCTTGCCATGTTAAAGTTTGAAGTTGTTACAGTACAACATACCCCTGTCTTCAAATCCACAGAGAACCAGTTGGGGACAAATACTGTCTTAAATCTTTTCTTAATTTCCTCTTCAAAATCCACTTTTCCAAGCTCTTCTATTTTTCTTGCCTTCAAGGAAAAATGGCAGGAAATTTTATACACATGTCATATCACTTAAAATGAGGCAGTGCCATGAAATCAATTAGGAAGAAGTAAGAACATTAATAAAGAGAGAAAATATAAAAATCTGCCTCTTACAAACACGTAATGACGCAGCAGGTATAATTCTTACACCCTACCTGTAGGGTGGACGGGACGACATGTACAATTCTTACACCCTACCTGTAGGGTGGACGGGACGACAGGTACAATTCTTACACCCTACCTGTAGGGTGGACGGGACGACAGGTACAATTCTTACACCCTACCTGTAGGGTGGACGGGACGACAGGTACAATTCTTACACCCTACCTGTAGGGTGGACGGGACGACAGGTACAATTCTTACACCCTACCTGTAGGGTGGACGGGACGACAGGTACAATTCTTACACCCTACCTGTAGGTTGGACGGGACGATAGGTACAATTCTTACACCCTACCTGTAGGGTAGATGGGACGACAGGTATAATTCTTACACCCTACCTACCTGTAGGGTGGACGGGACGACAGGTACAATTCTTACACCCTACCTGTAGGTTGGACGGGACGATAGGTACAATTCTTACACCCTACCTGTAGGGTAGATGGGACGACAGGTATAATTCTTACACCCTACCTGTCGGGTAGAAGGACCACAGGTATAATTCTTACACCCTTCCTGTAGGGTAGACGGGACGACAGGTACAATTCTTACACCCTACCTGTAGGGTAGACAGGATGACAGGTACAATTCTTACACCCTACCTGTAGGGTAGAAGGGGTGACAGGTACAATTCTTACACAATACCTGTAAGGTAGACAGAGCAGCAGGTACAGTTTTTACACCCTACCTGTAGGGTAGGCAGAGCAGCAGGTATAATTCTTACACCCTACCTGTAGGGTAGACAGGACGACAGGTATAATTCTTACGCCCTACCTGTAGGATGGGCAGGGCAACAGGTATAATTCTTAAACCCTACCTGAAGGATAGGCGGGGCAACAGGTATAATTCTTACACACTACCTGTAGGATGGGCGGGGCAACAGGTATAATTCTTACACCCTACCTGTAGGATGGGAGGGGCAACAGGTATAATTCTTACACCCTACCTGTAGGGTAGGCAGAGCAGTATGTACAATTCTTACACCCTACCTGTAGGATGGGCGGGGCAACAGGTATAATTCTTACACCCTACCTGTAGGATGGGCGGGGCAACAGGTATAATTCTTACACCCTACCTGTAGGGTAGGCAGAGCAGCAGGTATAAATTTTATGCCCCACATGTAGGGTAGGCTGATGCCGCAGGTATAATACTGTTTATACATCACACTTATGGGTAATATAGACCAGTATCAGTGATAATTGGCTCTGGTAGAGTTATACTTACCGTTAAAACATCCCATAATGCCACATTGTCTTCTGTATCTTTGGTCAATATGTGTCGCTTGTCATTTAAAACAAAATACTGTCGTATGCTTGGTCCACCTGTAAGGTGAAAAACATGATAAACTTCAAATTCATCCAAAATTGATTATAAAACAACAAGTTTTATTTATACAATAATTGAACTGTTTACCTTAAAATCAAATGATGAATTTCCTCATGAATATTGACTTATATTTCGGGATATCTGTTTTTCATAAAATCCTAGGACAGGAACTCTGTGACAGGAGACTGGTTATCTTTGGTTTTGTGCATGTGACATTTCACCTTTGATGGTGAAGTCTGGTTGTGTGTAGGTGACACAAGACATCTTACCTTTGATTGTGAAGTCTGGTTGTGTGTAGGTGACACAAGACATCTTACCTTTGACTGTGAAGTCTGGTTGTGTGTAGGTGACACAAGACATTTTACCTTTGATTGTGAAGTCTGGTTGTATGTATGTGACACAAGACATCTTACCTTTGATTGTGAAGTCTGGTTGTGTGTAGGTGACACAAGACATCTTACCACTGATTGTGAAATCTGGTTGTGTGTAGGTGAAAGCAGACATCTTATCTTTGATTGTGAAGTCTGGTTGTGTGTAGGTGACACAAGACACCTTACCTTTGACTGTGAAGTCTGGTTGTGTGTATGTGACACAAGACATTTTACCTTTGATTGTGAAGTCTGGTTGTGTGTATGTGACACAAGACATCTTACCTTTGATTGAGAAGTCTGGTTGTGTGTATGTGACACAAGACATTTTACCTTTGATTGTGAAGTCTGGTTGTGTGTATGTAACACAAGTCATCTTACCTTTGATTGTGAAGTCTGGTTGTGTGTAGGTGACACAAGACATCTTACCTTTGATAGTGAAGTCTGGTTGTGTATACATTGGACTAAGACCATCATTGTCGTATCCACCTGATAATCTAGAGCTGATTTTCTGTAGAGGCTGTAAAAGTATCAATAACTATTTACAAATGAAATTCTTATCATTAAAGGAAGACTGACTGTGTTTCACTTAGATCAGTTAAGTTTTGAGTTTCAGTTTTTGTTTGTTAAAACTCCTGTGCTATGGAAAAGGTATTTCGACATTACCTCTATCAAATTTTCTTTCAAGAGTCTTTTCAAGTTTGCATTCCCAGCAAGAAAATTCTTGAAAATTTCAAGAAAATTATCAAATATCTATCAAATCAAAATGTAACAACTATCAACAAGCTGCCATGATTTTTATGATGTCAACATCCTCATCACATTTATAAAGTCCTCAAAGAGGCTTGATGACAAGTACAGCTGACCTTACCCAGCATTTGATGCAGGAATCTGTGGTAGCTATCCAAAGTGATGGCTGGTCTGTATGTGTTAGCTCCAACTGTAACAGACAAACATCGTTTTACAGAAACAAATTACCCCGGTAGGAACTTTTTCCTTGGTCTTGATTGGATTGGCACCCTGTCTAACTGCTGTAATATACAAAATTCTCAACTAGCTGCTCTAATACACAGGATTCTCACTAACTACATCCATACCTAGAATTCAATATATCTCGTACCTTCAATATGGGGGCACTTTCTTCACAAACAAGAGCCCTATAATCTGGATTCCGTACATCGGTAGCCCAGACTCGTCTGTCTCGACCAGCAGAATATACCACAGAGAAGCCTTCATTTGTCTGAAATACATCAAATTTAAAATATATGTCGATTTCATCAATCTTAGGGTTAGAATTAACATATAATGTAATGCTAGCTTACCTATATCATTTCTATCCTTCTTTCTACCTCTGATTTTCTCTACAAAAACACTAAATTTCTTTAGAGTTCAAACTCTTAATGAATGATGTTCAACCAATGCCTTTTTAACCTTATATCATCAGTCATCTCTGAGGAAGTCCATTTCATTATCTTCAGAGCAAACTGATGTTGATACTTGAATACTTTGGGAATTTTGTTTGATTGTTTTTGTTCGAATTCTGATTTTGAAGGTACATATTTTTTCGAACGTTTGTGGTTTTCTAGAATAAATGTCCGATTCAGAGAAATTTTAATATAATGTCAAATTCTTTCTGCTTTCTTACCTGTTGAAATTCTGATTTTTAAGGTACATATTTTCCCCAAACATTTGTGGTTTTCTGAAATAAATGTCCGATTCAGTGAAATTTTAATCAAATGTCAAATTCTTCCTGCTTTCTTACCTGTAGCGCCCACACCCCTTCATCATGGACTCTGAAGGTTGCCACACAGCGCTGTTGTCCTAGTGACCAGAGACGGATTGTCCCGTCAGAACTTCCTGACAAACACTGCAACCAAATCAAAGCTTAAGGACAAAATTACTTTTGAAAATGGCAACCAATCAAATTCATAAATCAGAGTGATATATATTCATGTAGAAGCAGTCCAATCAACTAGCACTGGAGATATGATATAAGATGAGATATACACTGTGTATGACATGTGTTAACTGTACAAGATGATAGCAAGCCGTAATTTGCCTTCATTTGTCTTTTTCAAATTTATTGTTTAAAACAATGGGTCCCACGATGTGAAATTTAAGTATTACCAGAGATGCCATGAGAATGAATATCAGATTTAATACAAGCTTGTACCAGAGGTCAAAACATAATCAAATGTCAATAGAAAAAGACTATCAATCACATTCTAACCACTTGACCACATGATCAAACCAATAATTTGAAAAGCTTGATTTAAAGATGTTTATAGTCACAGTAAATATAATTTCAGTAACAGTCTTAATATTTTGTTCTTTGAAAACATCAAATACAAAACATATTCCAACTGTCAAACATCAGACACTGAAACAGACCTGTGTACCATCCCGATTTAGCACCAAAGCTTTGACGTTGTCTGTGTGACCTTTCAGCTTCATTAATTTCTGACAGGTTCGGGGATCCCAAACACGGAGCACTTTCTCGGTTGACCCGGATACAATAACAGTTCCAGGAGGATTCATTGCCAAACTGTATATGGAGTCCTTATTCCCATTTAAACTAGAGGCTGTAATGGAAATTTAATATTTAGTATGACAAGTAAATTTCAAAAACTTCCTCTTAATTGACAGACAACTGAGAAAATGATGTTGCAAACTACAAATAGCTGTATTCAACTTCTCAACAAATACTGCAAAAACCATAAGGTAAGTATGTATGATAGGAAACTTTGTTGAGGTCACAGTTGGCTTCCATTTCAGCATACTTCTCTTAGTATCACTTGGTGAATTTTCAGCTCTGAGATAGATGCTTGTTTGAATAGAGACACAGAAGGCAAACTTTAAAATTTGAAACAGGTTGGAGTGAGGGTGGGGAATGAGATAATGAATACAGATGAGACCCAGTATAAAACTGGAAAATATAGGACACTAATACTCCCCTCCTATACATGCAAGTACTTATGTCTGATGCATCAGGAGAATTGGTCAAATGTGATCTTTAAAACCATTTATCTTCATCTATCTTTAAATAATTGCTGTCAACTTATATTAATCACTCCTGTTAATGTTGGTCTGGATAGAAATCAGAGTACCCAGGGAAAACCCATGTGGTAGGTCACATGACCTTGTACTTTTTCACTTCTAATCAGCTGACCATGACCAATGACCACGTAAAACAATAAAGTGTACAGCTTGATGTTATAACTATATAAAGAATATAACCAAAATCTGTTGAGAAGTTCTCAAGACATAACACTGAATCTGAATGGGATATGATGCAATGGAATGAAATTGACGGACATGGGGTAACATAATAGGTCTCCCATAAACCAACGGGATTTCAAGAAAAAAGAGAAACCATTTGGCTTAGATTAGCTCTCATATGTTTGAAGTTAACTTAGTACCAATTTTAAGAGTCATAAAGAATCCAGGTGTTGACAGGCAAATGATGGAGATTAATGCAAAATTAAGGAGGGCAGATAGGCAGGATCATAATGACACCAATTATAGCTGACAAATTCTGACTTACTAAACAAAATTATGATTTACTTAGCAAAATGTTAATTTCCAAATCCACCAATTGTGACTGAACAAAAGTTCAAATATGAACAATACTGGAGAGACCATAACTGTACCGGTACTTACTTAATTGCTATAGTGATGTTATCAACTTGATTACAGCCGAAACTCATTCTAACAAGTGCAATACCAGACACACTCACATTTTGAAGAAATAACTCTACAGATGATGAACTATTTTCTTTCAACACACAACACAAAATGAGTCTTCTTAAATCTAGAGAACTTACTTGTTACAGTGTTATTGCTAGCTGTTAAAGCAGTGAGTGTGTTCACGTCCCAGAGAAAGATTGACCGGTCCAATCCAGCCGATGCTACTTGCTCTTTCTCCTTGGCATAAGCCAGTGCTTTTACATAATCCTGTACAATGAATAGAAAAATGTAATTATAATTAATTCTGATCTCACAAACACTTTACCACTTAATTTCCATTGATATTATAAAATTTATTCAATGATTATTTTCTCAAATAAACTGTCAGAAATACATCATGTGTCTTTTTCTGCCATTTGTAAAAAAAAGAGATGAAATTCTAATTTTGAAGATTTACTTAAACTGTTGTTTCAAATTGAAGTTTCAGTATAGTAGTATCCAGTGTCCTGTAAAAATGCAAGGATATATACATACAGACAAACCATTACCTCTGATGTCAGAAAATTAATATGTTACTTCTGATGTCAGAAAGATTAATATGTTACTTCTGATGTCAGAAAGATTAATATGTTACCTCTGATGTCAGAAAGATTAATATGTTACCTCTGATGTCAGAAAGATTAATATGTTACCTCTGATGTCAGAAAGATTAATATGTTACCTCTGATGTCAGAAAATTAATATGTTACCTCTGATGTCAGAAAATTAATATGTTACCTCTGATGTCAGAAAGATTAATATGTTACCTCTGATGTCAGAAAGATCAATATGTTACCTCTGATGTCAAGTAAGATGATGTGTTACCTCTGATGTCAGAAAGATCAATATGTTACCTCTGATGTCAGAAAATTAATATGTTACCTCTGATGTCAAGTAAGATGATGTGTTACCTCTGATGTCAGAAAGATCAATATGTTACCTCTGATGTCAGAAAATTAATATGTTACCTCTGATGTCAAGTAAGATGATGTGTTACCTCTGATGTCAGAAAGATTAATATGTTACCTCTGATGTCAGAAAATTAATATGTTACCTCTGATGTCAGAAAGATTAATATGTTACCTCTGATGTCAAGTAAGATGATGTGTTACCTCTGATGTCAGAAAGATTAATATGTTACCTCTGATGTCAGAAAATTAATATGTTACCTCTGATGTCAGAAAGATTAATATGTTACCTCTGATGTCAGAAAATTAATATGTTACCTCTGATGTCAGAAAGATTAATATGTTACCTCTGATGTCAGAAAATTAATATGTTACCTCTGATGTCAGAAAGATTAATGTTACCTCTGATGTCAGAAAATTAATATGTTACCTCTGATGTCAGAAAGATTAGTATATTACCTCTGATGTCAGAAAATTAATATGTTACCTCTGATGTCAGAAAATTAAAATGTTACCTCTGATCAATATGTTACCTCTGATGTCAAGTAAGATGATGTGTTACCTCTGATGTCAGAAAGATTAGTATATTACCTCTGATGTTAGGAGAGTTGAAATATATAGAATTATATATTACCTTGTGTGTGCGAAGAGTTGACATACAGAAACCTTTATGGGCATTCCAGACTTTGACAGTTGTGTCACTGGATGCAGAAATCACTGAAAACAAAAAAAGTAAACATTTCAATACTGTGTATGTATATTTCATACATCATCAAGCAGATGTTGGAAATAGGAGTAATCTGTCTTACTCCTGTTTTAACTAAACTGAATTAAAAACTTTAACACATAATTAAAACCATTTACATTGAAAGGGAAATTTTTGACATTTAATTTTTTTAAAGATCTACACTATCTGTGTTGTATGACTTGAACTGTGGCAATGAAATAATAAATTGTCTTGCTGATATATTCATATGTTAACACCAATCTTTGCAATTCTAAGATTACTTTCAATCTCTACACTAATATGATCTGTTTAGTCATAAGTCAATTTTTGAGAATGTTTTATACTATAGACAGATCTACCACTAGGCACTATAGATAGATATTATATAACACCCATTAGCTACGATATACCTGTGTTAGCTTTTGAGTCATATTGGCATAGTATACATGCTAGTGATGTATAATTAAATTAATAAGTACCTATAAACATCAAAGATTATTTACTTCTTTAGCCTGAATCACACCTCAAAAGGGGGATAACTCATGGTCTATTAGTAACAAACAAATTACACATTCCTACAATTCAAGGGCCATACATGATTTATATATGATTTCTCTTTCTGCATTAAACAGGAGTAACTAGATTATAATTGTAAGATACATTTCAAGTCTGTGAGTAAATATCAATCTATATCATTGTGTATCGGAATTTTAAAAATTGTGTGGGTTTTAGTTGAACAAGAGCCATCCACATATCTATGTGATTAAGTACAAGACAATTGGGTTATACCTAATTTTTAATTTCCACTGGATTACAGTTGGCTCTGAAATATTGGTCTTACTGTTTTCATGAAAATTTTAATAAAAAAAAAAAATCAAAACATGATCAGTATATTACCATTATACAACTGTATACTACATCACAGTTCTATCAGTATTTTTGAAAAAAGTAAATAAGTGAAAATAAAATCATGAAAAAAGGATGGACAATTGCAAGGATAACAATATATACCCCAAACCATGTAATAAAGGGCAACAAAAATGTAACAGAAATATTGCACCAACATCAAATTCTTGATAAGAATCCAATATGTTACATTTCTCTTTCATACTTACATGTTCTTCCTCCACAACACAGTACAATGTCGTTGACCCAGTCTGTGTGATGCTCCATAGACAAAACATAGGGGTCCTACAATGCAGAGCACTTAATTCAGCCCTTTTAGTCGATCATGACCTCTCACATTTAATAATTTAAGAAATCATCAATCTAAAGGGTCAAAACATGTATAAAATTGTAACTCACTTTTGAGAGTTAAAATCACACAAGGGTCTATAGAATGAATGCCTTGTTAAATTATCATGCATCATCTAAAATCTGCATTCTTTTTTTAATATATCATTTTTGAGAAATCTGATTCAAGATAAGTCATTTTTCCTTAAAACTATAATGAAGAAGTTAAAAGTCTATTTCTATACAATGCTTAAACTGAACTTCTTAGTCAGTATTGTCCATGTTTGATCGGAGACAAAGAAAAATGAACACGAATTATAAAGTTTGTCAACACAGGCTGAATATATTTTAAAATTTACCTTGTTTGCCCTTGTGTTCCATATCCTGATGATTGAGTCACGTCCTGCAGTGTAAAGTCTATTAAATACAGGATCAAACTGGAGGGCATTGACTCCTGATCTGTGATGCCGTTCTACCTCATCTCGAATCACAAACGACACCTATACAATCAAATAGGAAGTAAAAATGAAACTAAAAAGCAAGAGCCATACAAGTGTTACGATCTGTTAGTACATAGCAAAATTCACACTGGATCTCAATTATGAATTTCAACATCAATATTTTACGATTTTCATCAAACATCTCTGCTAGTAGTATATATACTAATGATATTGATGATAATTAGTCACCCATCAATAATAATATCAATAAATGTCTATCTGTGTATGCAGATCACAGATCTTCCGTCGTCACACAGCATTTCATCATCAAGATTTTTAATTTAATATTGAATCAGTGCTGATTTGTAATGGGTTCTATTTTTTGCTATTTTAAAGAGAGAATACATCTGTCTTTACCGAAAAATAATTACTGTACCTTAAAATAATATGTTCATAAGGAAATTTGAGTCTGTTTCCATGGTTTCAACAAAAAATACATCCCTTTTAAAACACATTTAATTGTATTAATTTGCTTCAAACTTGTAGTGAATCTGCCAAAATCTTCACAATGAAAGTAATTACATATTGTCATATCTACATCAATTTGTTGGTTTCCCACTTGATAATGGTAAGAGTCATTTCAACTTTGGAAATTCAGGATTTCGTTTATTACACTGCTTCTGTATTCTAGATTCCTCCAGCTCCAAATGTTGTGTCAGTTTAAGGCCATGTCATATCAAACCCATATGGAAGTGGGCAGCTGTTTTTAAAGTTTATCAAACAAATCATTATTTTTTATTCTAAGGTAGTTAAATAGATAAAAAAAAATATAAGACAATGATCATTAACATATATATGTCATACTGTGTTACCTTCATTTCAACCAACAGATTAAAATAAGGCAAATAATGTCACTATATTTGATGTTTTTTATTTCTTGCGATCCCTGGCGAAGGCACTCTTTTCCTGTTACTTTTGGTGCCATAGTACACTCCAATTGCAAGCTAGATGAGACTGAAACGTTTGCTGGAGTAAGACCTGGTTTGATGTGGTGTTGATCAGAGAGGCAGACCAGTAAACTAAGGGTCACATGTTCAATCTTTGGCAGCGGTACACTTACCATTTTCTTCTTAAAACTGCTTTACTACCATTATTCTTGTTCTAAACAATTACTCATAGCAGTTTTTTTTCCTACTTGATAAGGAAGAACACATTTCATGAGTAATTAATGTAAGTTTTGGTAATTCAGCTTAATTACAAAATGCGTAACTTCAATTCAGAACAGGGCTTTTGTCAGCCAAAAAATGTCTTTAAAAATGGATTAGCATTACCAATTGTTTTATCCACATTTAATACATTTTCTATATTTTAAAGTATACACAAATGTATTATTGAGCAAGAGTTATATTTTCAATTCAATATTCTTTAATCAAAGTAAATAGTTAAAGTATCCTCTCAAATCCAATGATGCTTCCAAGACTTCATACATCCGGACACTTATAAAAATGTTTAACACTTTCATAAAATGATCTCAGTCAGTGACATCATGATAATCACCCGGATTGGGAAGAATTGGATTTCAGAGAATGGTGTGGTCCCAAATGTCAACATCAGAACATGTCCAGGGAACATTTAGCAAGTGATGGTCCGAGTAAAATTAGTACATCGATCGCGATTGAATGCATTCCTCATCAGCACTGAAATATTAGTTCAAACGAAAGCAGTCCTCTCATGGTAGCTAGCATACATAAACCTACGTTCCAGTGTTGGAGCCTAGCCCCCTGTTGGCCGATTTGGCTAGTACAGCGTCCGACATGGTTTATTCTCAATCATGAGAACAGAAATCGTGACAATTAATCTTCCTTTACTATAACAAGAACTTAACGTTCATTACTCATAAAAGAATTATTGACGTCATAAATAATATGTGCAATTTACCTGAACTTTTTTCTTCCCCTGTCCACCGGAGGATCGGTGGTGTGAGGCCATGTTGTGTATTTTGATGTGACGTCATCAGTTTTTGCTGTCATTGCAAAATAATAGTTCATTTGTTACTAGGATTAATTTTGCCATTATTTACATGGAAATATTCATATTAAATATATATAATGATTTGCAAACAATGCATAAAGAATTTTTTCTTCTGTATAATGGCAGTACAAACGACGACTACAAGTTTTATCACGAGTTAGCTCCCGTAGTACACCATTATAAGACGCGGGAAAATCTACCCTGTACTGCAAACCAATGACTTGCATATAGATCTATAGTTGTATCTAAGTCCGTGCTCAAACTTACAACAACTGATTTTTTTTTATTTTCCTCGTCGGTTTCTGCATTACAGCAAAAAAGGTAAACAAATAAAATTATCAATTTTTGGCTAGAATTTTTATGCATACGAATCCTCAACACAGAAGTAGAAATCAGTGGTAGATAGATGCACAAACACAGAAGTACAGAAATCAGCGGTAGATATATACCGGAACATAGAAGTACAGAAATCTGTGATAGATATATACACGAACATAGAAGTACAGAAATCAGTGGTAGATATATACCTGAACATAGAAGTACAGAAATCAGTGGTTAATAGATACCGGAACACAGTAGTACAGAAATCAGTGGTAGATAGATACACGAACACAGAAGTACAGAAATCAGTGGTAGATATATACCGGAACATAGAAGTACAGAAATCAGTGGTTAGTAGATACCGGAACACAGTAGTACAGAAATCAGTGGTAGATATATACATCAGAAGTAAAGAAATCAGTGGTAGATATATACCTGAACATAGAAGTACAGAAATCAGTGGTTAATAGATACCGGAACACAGTAGTACAGAAATCAGTGGTAGATAGATACACGAACACAGAAGTACAGAAATCAGTGGTAGATAGATACACGAACACAGAAGTAGAAATCAGTGGTAGATAGATACACGAACACAGAAGTACAGAAATCAGTGGTAGATATATACATCAGAAGTAAAGAAATCAGTGGTAGATATATACCTGAACACAGAAGTACAGAAATCAATGGTAGATATATACATCAGAAGTACAGAAATCAGTGGTAGATATATACCGGAACATAGAAGTACAGAAATCAGTGGTAGATATATACACGAACATAGAAGTACAGAAATCAGTGATAGATATATACACGAACATAGAAGTACAGAAATCAGTGGTAGATATATACCTGAACATAGAAGTACAGAAATCAGTGGTTAATAGATACCGGAACACAGTAGTACATAAATCAGTGGTAGATATATATCCAAACACAGAAGTACAGAAATCAGTGGTAGATATATACCGGAACATAGAAGTACAGAAATCAGTGATAGATATATACACGAACATAGAAGTACAGAAATCAGTGGTAGATATATACCGGAACATAGAAGTACAGAAATCAGTGGTAGATATATACACGAACATAGAAGTACAGAAATCAGTGGTAGATATATACACGAACATAGAAGTACAGAAATCAGTGGTAGATATATACCTGAACATAGAAGTACAGAAATCAGTGGTTAATAGATACCGGAACACAGTAGTACAGAAATCAGTGGTAGATATATACCCAAACACAGAAGTACAGAAATCAGTGGTAGATAGATACCTGAACATAGAAGTACAGAAATCAGTGATAGATATATACCGGAAGATAGAAGTACAGAAATCAGTGATAGATAGTTACATCAGAAGTACAGAAATCAGTGGTAGATATATACACGAACATAGAAGTACAGAAATCAGTGGTAGATATATACACGAAAATGGAAGTACAAAAGTCAGTGGTAGATATATACACGAACATAGAAGTACAGAAATCAGTGGTAGATAGATACATCAGAAGTACAGAAATCAGTGGTAGATAAATACACGAACATAGAAGTACAGAAATCAGTGGTAGATATATACACGAACATAGAAGTACAGAAATCAGTGTTAGATAGATACCTGAACATAGAAGTACAGAAATCAGTGGTAGATAGATACCTGAACATAGAAGTACAGAAATCAGTGGTAGATATATACCTGAACATAGAAGTTCAGAAATCAGTGGTAGATATATACCGGAACACAGAAGTACAGAAATCAGTTTTAGATATATACACGAACACAGAAGTAAAGAAATCAGTTTTAGATATATACACGAACATAGAAGTACAGAAATCAGTGGTAGATATATACCCGAACACAGAAGTACAGAAATCAGTGGTAGATAGATACATCAGAAGTACAGAAATCAGTGGTAGATATATACCTGAACATAGAAGTACAGAAATAAGTGATAAATATATACCGGAACATAGAAGTACAGAAATCAGTGGTAGATATATACACGAACATAGAAGTACAGAAATCAGTGGTTAATAGATACCGGAACACAGTAGTACAGAAATCAGTGGTAGATAGATACACGAACACAGAAGTACAGAAATCAGTGGTAGATATATACATCAGAAGTACAGAAATCAGTGGTAGATATATACCTGAACATAGAAGTACAGAAATCAGTGACAGCTAGATAATACATTAAAAATGCTTTTGTCGTTTGATCTAAAATTGATGTCGCATGAATATTTATAACGAATCTCATATGATTAAAGTAATCACACTATAATGCAATCACAATCTTATGAAATTACACACAGCTGTAAACCATTCGTTATTGTTTTGATCAGAATGACATTTTTATTACAGAAAATCATTGAAGGGCATTTCCGATATAAGCTTCACCTGATCTGAATTGATTTCGCTAAGTTTTGTGATTTCGCTAAGTTTTATCATTATTATTTTTTAACTTCTCTCTCACATTGCACAGTACACTGAGTTATGCTGTTTGTGTTTACTTGTACTTCTCTACCCTTCTTATTAATATTTTCTTGCCAGAAGGTTGTAACATTCGAAACACCTAATATCCCAGGTTTCATTTTGTTACAGTGGGCTTATGACTTTTCCAACGATGGTAACGCTAACGTTTGTTATGATCCAAGTGTTGTAAACATTAATCCTGCTAACTGGATAAGCAAGATCATATTAGTATACGTTTAAACTAAGATTTTAACACACAGCTGACAAATGCTGTGAACTTCTTTTATCAATTGTATCGTGTTAACGTTTTGTGTTTGGCTCTATTTGAGAGGTAACATTCTAAATACATATGTACATTGTATATGCTGTTATAACGGTTTCTAGAATGTACATGTATTTTCATCTGTATCAAAAATCATCCCAACGCACATCTCATATTCTCAGTTTCACCCAGTTTACTGATAATAGGGATTTGTTAATTAGTTGGGTCATGTATGGCTATTACAACATATATTTCAGATTCTGAATTTCGTGACCCACTGGGTTTTTTGTATTTTTTTCTCTTCACTTTGCTCATATGGAAACGTTTGTTTAATATTGTGATATGGTGAAGCTGAAATGTATATATATATAATTTTATATGTATGTATACATAAATGTTTGTATATATATATATATATATATATATATATATATATATGGGTGTGTAATTATTTTACGCATTAGATTCATCCAGAGACGTATATATCACACTATATTTGTATTATTGCAAAATTCTCACACAATTTTGTCGATAATTAATCTCTATGCTTTGAAGACTTGAAGACAATATGGTTGATGCCATATATCATAGTGCCTGAGAAGAATGATTAAAGCTTGCAAAAATATGGTTTGGTTTTCGCAAAATATCAATCTTCATTGTTATTTGTAATAATTAATTCGCAATAAAATATCAATCTCCATTGTAATATACATTGTAATAAATAATACATCGCAATAATGAATACATTGTAATAAAGAATACCGATTGTAATAGATAATACATTGTAATAAATAATGCATTGTAATAAATAATACATTGTAATAATACATTGTATTAAATAATACATTGTAATAAAAATACCGATTGTAATAAATAATAAAAAATATTGTAATAGATAATACATTGTAATAGATAATGCATTGTAATAAATAATACATTGTAATAAAGAATATCGATTGTAATAAAGAATACCGATTGTAATAAAGAATACATTACAATAAAAAATACCGATTGTAATAGATAATACATTGTAATAGATAATGCATTGTAATAAATAATACATTGTAATAATAAAGAATATTGCAATAGATAATATGTAATAAATAATACATTGTAATAAAGAATATCGATTGTAATACGATTGTAATAGATAATATATTGTAATAAATGATATATTGTAATAAAGAATACATTGTAATAATAGATAATGCATTGTACATGAATAATAATGCATTGTAATAAACAATAATAAAAAAATATCGATTGTAATCAATAATAAATTGTAATAAAGAAAAGATTTGTAATGAACGGAATCTTTGAACAAACATATGCTTGGAAATTTTAAGATTGTTTACGATAAGGATGTAGGTGAAGTTCAGTGTATGTCAACATAGGAAAATGATAGGTTCATATGTCACGCAGAGAATACAATATTTTGTGCATGAATAATTCACATGGCCTTTATCGTCTGAAATGAATCAAGGCGCTATATATGTGTTTTACGATTTAATTCAGGTCTAAGATATATGTACACGCAAACAAATTTGATAATGACGAGCGTTACAATATACATTTACATATGTTTTCAGATCATACAGCTTAAATTAAACCAATTTTTATAAAAAAAAATGTAGAATTCAGGAAAGCAGTTGTTTATATAAAAAAAATGTAATGGCAATGTTGATGTAAATAAGTAATAAACATCAAAGGTAATGGCAGGGCGTGTGTTATTATATTTTCTCCACGCGTACGGTTAACGAAAAATACCCCTTCGTGGACCCCATAGTTCTAGCGCGAGAACTCAACGAGAAATTGCGAGAAACGTCCTTTTCCGGTAAATCGCCATCATGGGTATGTGTGGAAAATAAACGTGACATTTAAATCTTCTGTAATCGGCTTTCTCATTTCACATCAATAGAGATTTTATAGCCATAACAATAAATTATATCTTCAATTTATATGATGTGTGTTGGTCATGCTCTAATATATCCAAATCAAATTATATTACAATATATGTGAGACAAAATCTCCATTCGCTGACCTGTGTTTATACACTACATTTATCTAAACATAAATAAAACTAAGCATCTTTCTTATTTTAGTAACTTAGAAGATGATTAACAAGCAACTGCTTACGTTTTCTTTGCACTGTTTTGTGAAATAAAGGCAGTTGAATGTTTGGTGGTCAGAATAATTTGATGACCAGTTAATACTTGCTATACAAGTTACATGCTTGCGATGATGAAAAAATCTTTCCCCAACTTATCGACATATGACGATGTCAAAGCTGTAAATACATGCCAGATTTTCTGAAGCAAGCGTTTGCCATATCTTGATATTGAATTTTCGTTGTCTCGTAATACTACGTTTGATTAATAATTAAATTGGTGTACTACCTGTTTGCCAGGTATCTCCAGAGATAAATGGCACAAGAGGAGGAAGACGGGAGGGCGTATGGCCCAGTTGCACAAGAAGAGGAAGTTTGAGTTGGGACGCCCTGCCTCGAACACCAAGGTATACTTTCCTGTAAAGAAAAACTGGCGTGTCTACCATTATTGACACACATGGTGCCTGACTGTTGTTAGCCAATGCTGGCCATGTACACATTATTGTATAATGGCATTCGCATCTATAATTTTCATCTATACAGCTGGTTACTTAGAGTGTAGCTTCGGTTTCTGTGCTATTCATACCCCCAACATATTTTTTATCAAGGGAAAGGGAGATCGGAGGTTTGAGACAAGTTATTTCAACTTATACTAATCTCTCTTGTTGGCCTGGATGTAAGCATGCAAAGGGTCTTATTGTGGGAGGAAACCAGAGTGCCCGAGGAAAACCCATGTGGTCGGGCAGGTGACCCTTACCTTTTCACGTCCATTCCAGGTGTCGAACCCCGGACGGCAAGGTGAAAGGTGAGAGCGTTGTCACTGCACCACCCGACCACCAAGGGTATGATTTCTCTTACCTATGAAATTATGAGAATGAGTACAATGAGTTTTTTTTAATTTAATGTAATATGGTATCTTAACTTGAAGAAAACAAGGAATCGATGATGAATGAAAATTACACCATCTTTCGACTGAAATGATGCTGATGGATAAATTATTATCAACTGATGATTCCATGATGATATTCTTGTTGAGTCATGGTAACAGTAATAGATCCAGATAAAAGTGTCTTATAAATTATAAACAATTTTTTAAACAATTCTGAGTTTTTCTGACCTGAAAGAGAACTTGTTTTGTCTTTAGAAAATTTAAACATTTATTTTTAAATACACAAAGCTCCATCCCCTGGAAATGTCGCATCATACATCGGACAGATAATATACAGGCTGTGTAAAACCATCTGTATTCAACCAACTAAGAGGTCTAGATGGCACGCTAAGCAAAGAACTGTATGGGGGACAACTCACAACCCTTTTGAACTGTTTGAAATAAGGTTTCAACAGTATGGCTGTAGCATTGGTTAACTTGGACTGTACAAAGATATTATCACGAATGTATCCAACATCAAAGTTGAAATGGACATAATTAAATGGACATAATTAATCTAAAGAAAATAACTCAATGAGGTGCTTGCGATGATGGAAAAATCTTTCCCCAACTTATCGACATGTGACGATACTAAAGCTGTTATAAGCCAGATATTTCTGATGCAAGCAAATCAAATCTCTAATCCTTGTTGGATTTTTCAGGCTTTGTCAAACAAAAGTATTCATATCCAAAGATCAGGATTTAAACAATATATTGATATGGGCAATATGCCTACAGGCTAGCATTGTTGTCTAAATATTGTAAAATTCATAAGTTTCGGTGATCTTTCCTCATTTTAAAATACCTGGATATTTTCCACAAAAAAAGCTATAAACTGAGCATTCCCTGTATATAGCATATAAGTTACCAATTTTATTGGGACAACTTCAGAAGTATATATGATTATTTGTAAATTCCTCCATGAACACGCTATTTTGAAAGTAATCTGGAAAAACAAAGCTTTTTAAATTCCATTTGACATATTTGCATATGCGGATACAACTTTTGTGTACACATAATCTCCTTTAATACTGCAACAAAGTTGATATGCTTGTGATGATGAAAAATCTTTCCCCAACTTATCGTCATATGACGAGTTAAAAGCTGTTATATATTGCCAGATTTTCTGATGCATGCATATCACAAGTTTTTATCAGGAACGTTGTTGTTTGATCTGTCCCTGTTGGTTGTAGAGATTTGCCTACATTTTAAAACATCAGATTTTCACAAGTGAATAAAAAAGGAAAGAAAACATTCAGGATCCTTCAAATAAATAGCATGTAAAACTTTTCTATTTAAATGGGACAATTTACTATGTGTTAGTTGTCATTGGACTTAAAGGTAGAATAATTACTGCTGTAAATATTACAGTTGACAAGATTTATGCTAAGATGTATAACCAGACGGCTATTTCAGTCCAATCTAAATAGCAAATACATTGCATGACAGGGGGAAACTTTTGTTTCTTAATTCAAATAAACGAAAATTATATTCATGCATTTAAAATAGTAAGGGGGGGGGGGGAGTGAAAATAATTCCTATGTGTTAATGGGGATGCAGAAATTATGCACAAAATGACACAACAATTTATATGTTTGTGATGATGAAAAATCTTTCCCCAACTTATCGACATATGACGATGTCAGAGCTGTACATACATGCCAGATTTTTCTGATGCAAGCAAACAATGGTGTCTAGCTATGTATAGATATTTATTTATTGTAAAATTGTCAATTTCATTGTTTGTAGGCCTACTTGTCATACTGTAGCTAGTCAAGCCACAATTAACATACAAGTCATTTATTGTTTATTGTTTAGACATCAGCATAAGTAAAATGATATTGATATCTTAATACACTATGGAACATGTTTGATCCCAGTATTGGTGACACAGAAATTTAATCATTGACAATTCTATCGTGAAGTTGGTAAAAAAAATAACACAGCTTGTAATGATGAAAAATCTTTCCCCAACTTATCGACATGTGACGATGTCAAAGCTGACCAATAGCCAGATTTTTCTGATGCAGGCATGTTCACTGATGTGTGAAATAGTTCTGTAGAGAATACTGATAATAATTCAGAAAATTCCAATGATTGTTCTTAAAAAAAAATCTGCAATTTGATTTTTAAAAAAATAACATTCTTGTATTACCAATAGAAATGAACATAAAAGGTTTGAGGAATAGAGAGTATGTCCCTTTCTATTGCTTTATGTTTTGAATTGATTAAGATCTGGAAATATTTAAAAAAAAAAAAAAAACAAAAAAAACAAAAAAAAAACGGGGTTTTCCTTTGGAATCTGTGATGATTAACTCAACACCATCTTTTGACGGAGACAGTGCTGATGGATAAAATTGTCAATTTCATTTTTTAGACCAAGTTGTACTGTAACTAGTCGAGTCATGATTAACATACAAGTCATTTGTTGTTCATAGTATAGACATCCGCTTTAGTAAAACAATGTTGATATCTTAATACACTATGGAACATGTATGGTCCCGGTATCGGTTAAACATAAATTTAATCACTGAAAATTCTATCATGAAGTTGGTAAAAAGATAACACACAGTTTCAGCTTGTAATGATGAAAAATCTTTCCCCAACTTATCGACATGTGACGATGTCAAAGCTGACCAATAGCCAGATTTTTCTGATGCAGGCATGTGCACTGATGTGTGAAATAGTTCTGTAGAGAATACTGATAATAATTCAGAAAATTCCAATGATTGTTCTTAAAAAAAAAGACTGCAATTTTACTTTAAAAAATAACATTCCTGGATTACCAATAGAAATTAACATAAAAGGTTTGTGACAGAGGAATAGGAAGTATGTCCCTTTCTATTGCAGGGTTTTCCATAATTTTGTTAGTAGTAGGCTGTGTAGTGAAAGTAGGAGGCTGTCCTGCCGTGTACATGTAGTCGTGTATGGAACATTATTACGGAACTGGATTGGTGTAGGCGGCCAAATGATCTAAGTAGCCGGTCAAATTGGTCGGCGACCGGCTCTTATGGAAAACCCTGCTATTGCTCCATGTTTTGAATTGATTAAAATTTGGAAATATTTTAAAAATATGGTTTTCCTTTGGAATCTGTGATGATTAACTTAACACCATCTTTCGACTGAAACAATGCTGATGGATAAAACATATTTCTGATGATTCCAAGTAAACCATACAGAAATATTATTTTATGAGAACAAAGTTTTTTAAAAATAAAGTATAGAGTGTGTGGTGGGAAGTTTGGGGTTCTAGTTGAAAATATAGGAGAGTGTTTGGTGGAAGTGCGAGGTTCTATTTGCATTCAAAGATAACCCGGTGCTTGTCCTGCTTAATTGTAAATGCTTTACCAGGATTTCAGAATTACATTTAATTAGATTAGTTAAATTGGAATCGATGATGATCAACAAACACCATCTTTCGGCTGAAATAAAGCTGATGGACATTTAACAATTTACCTGATGATTCCAAAGATAAAAGATACTTTGGTATAAAAATAGTTGCCTATTGTAGCAACAACTCCCCACATGTATTTGCTGGATTTTCAGTAGAAATTTAATAAGTCAGCTTTTAATTGAGGGAGAAAAACATTCCCATGAACTGATGAAGTGTCAATACAGGCCATTTTACCTCTATTGTTTCCATTGCAGCTTGGCCCCCAGAGAATCCGAACTGTGAGAACCATGGGTGGAAACAAGAAATTCCGTGCTCTTAGGTTAGACAAAGGAAACTTCTCTTGGGGATCAGAGGGTAAGAACCCACATGTCATATCTAAAGCTTCAAAAATGCTGTACCGATATTATATAGTATGAACCCGTACAACTTTCAGAATTGAAAATACATTTTTGTAGCAGTTAGTTCTTGTGAAAAAAAATCACAAATCATAAAGATTACAGTGTGAGGGAGCAAAGGGTTATTTAGCTGTGAAATATTCACAAATCATAAAGATTGGTGTGTGAGGGAGCAAAGGGTTATTTAGCTGTGAAAAATTCACAAATCATAAAGATTGCTGTGTGAGGGAGCAAAGGGTTATTTAGCTGTGAAAAATTCACAAATCATAAAGATTGCAGTGTGAGGGAGCAAAGGGCTATTTAGCTGTGAAATATTCACAAATCATAAAGATTGCTGTGTGAGGGAGCAAAGGGTTATTTAGCTATCCTGGTGGCAGATCTTGTTGTTCCTTAATTTTTGGTGGTGGAATATGATTGTCCCCTTGCAACATGATCTCCTAATTATTAATATGTACATTTTCATATTGCATTTTAATTTGTAGTATGTTTCTTTGAATTTCTGAATAGAGAGGAAATTATAGTCAGTATGATTTTGATGGCAGATGAAATCTTGTGATGATGAAAAATCTTTCCCCAACTTATCGACATATGACGATGTCTAAGCTGTTGATACATGCCAGATTTTTCTGATGCAAGCAGATAATGAATTTTGTCTGATACATTGCTATTTAAAAAGGGCACCTTTCACTTGGGAAATGAGCTTACACAATGATGTTTTAGATTTGTTATTAGTATTCAGTGTTAAAGACTAATCTTTATAACCATCTCTTAGAGGACTAGTGTCATAATACATATATAGTACTTAGCATGCTGGTAGAATTGACGATCAAGTGTCAAGATTGACTTGGCTCCTTTCAAGGTCCTAAAGGTCTGATGTGTTGAAAAGAATTCAAAATCTGGACACCCAGAGACCCAAGGTGGTTATATTTTACCAAACACATAATGGACTTAAAATATAGGGTCTATTTGAAAGGTCAAATATAAGTAATATATACTTTGGGAATAACATCACACTTCCTATGGAAATCAGTTCAGATGAGCAATTGTCAGGTCTAGTAAGCAATATCTTTTCTATAACCTGAATGAAATCAACTCATATTGATGGTTTTATTGCTACAGCTATTACCAGGCAGACTCGTATCATCGATGTTGTCTACAATGCCAGTAACAACGAGCTTGTGAGAACTAAGACACTTGTCAAAAGCTGCATCATCCAGATTGACGCCACCCCCTTCAGACAGTGGTACGAGGCCCATTATGCCCTTCCCCTGGGCAGAAAGAAGGTTGCCAAGCTGGTGAGTCTATGGAGCTATGTTATCATATAGCTGCTTATTTTGATTTGTGTAGAAAAAAAACTTAGTGTCTCCATGATTATACTCGTTTAGATCAGTGAGGAAGCTCTCCAGTACTGAATGGAGTTTCAAGTGAGATGTAGGAATTTAATCTGTCTGCTTGTCATGGCAGCTTGAGGTGTTTGAATTGATTTAGACAGAATAATGAACATATATACATTGATTTAATTGCATATTAGCTTTCCTGAATGTTGGTTGCATTCCAACTTGACTACATGTCACGCTAGATTGAATCAATCCAATAATTGGCTGTAAACTCAACATGATGTAGATATAGTAAATCCTTATTGATTGAGCTTAAATATCAGCTATCAATCCATACACATTCAAATATAGCAGTATCAATTTCAGGGATCAATGCTCAACAATTCTTATTTACTAAGTAAGGTTTGTGCTTGTGATGATGAAAAGTCTTTCCCCAACTTATCGACAAATGAAGATATTGGTGCTACTTTAAGCCAGAATTTTCTGATGCAAGCATTAACCCCGGTGTTAGTAAATATGAGGTCTTTAGTCTCTGGTTTGGGTTTTGGATGGGGTATTTTTGCTTCAATTTTGGAAGAAAATTGATTAATAGGGATGGAACCTTTCCTAAGTGAGTTGCAAATTTCAGGAATTTGTCACATATATAAAATAGGTTCAGTTCTGAGTGGAACCCTTGATCGGGCCAATTAAGCACTAATATGATTTCAGGACTTTACGCTTTCCATAGTAGGAATAGATTAGTGACAGACAATATAAAGACATTTCATCAATCCTTATGACATTTAATGTCATTATGAAAAGGTTTGTCTATGGTTTCGATATCTTAATAGTTGTACCAGAGTCTGTAATAATAAATGTAGTAACACTAACAATGTTTCTGTTTCCAGTCAGAGCAAGAAGAATCTGTTTTGAACAAGCTGCAGTCTGCTTCAAAGAAACTCGTGAAAAAATACAAAGAACGACAAAAGGTCGGAAAGGTGGATACTGCCTTGGAAGAAGAGTTTTCATCAGGACGTGTTCTAGGTAAGTAGATGTTATGTCCTATGTTAGTTGACAAAGTAGAAAATTAGAATGGTCAAGATCTTTCTTTTGATCATTTGGACTATGTTGATGAAGGCATTTTCACTTGAGGTTTGCACTGAAACCAAACAGATAGCCTTTTGAAGCTTAGAAATTAAATGGACCCCACATGTTTCTTCAAGTAATCCATCAGAACGTATACAGTACACCATTTGATCTGAAACGATACGCAATTATAAAATATCTAACATAAACTGTTACATACTTAGATAGGATGGAAGTGTAAAATGAGCGGTCAGCATTTGTACAAATGTTACTTTCTCCTATCTCTCCGAGCATGCTTCTTTTGGGATAGCTATGGGTTATCATGCCATGTTGACTGGGGTTCAATTCCAGTCTGGACATGAATGTGTATTTACCTGTCTTGTTGCATATATGCACTTGATGATGATGCCAATTTTACATGTATTAGCTGTTGATGTTTCATGAAATGTCTTGAATTCTGAAAGTGCACAAAATATGTATTTGCTGGAGTAATAACTCGGACAGTGTTGATCAGTGTTGTCTGCTACAGTTTTCCTAACAATAGGTCTGCTCAGTGTAGCAATGTAGATAGAAATTCATTTTCATCCTGGCAACCAAACCCAGATATGAATGCAGCAGATTCGAGTACAAGTTTGGGAAGCTGAATGTAATAATATTGGGAGTTGAATATTACAGTATTGGGAGTTGAATATAACAATATTTGGAGTTGAATATAACAAATATTGGGAGTTGAATGTAACAATGTTTGGGAGCTGAATGAAGGAGTTGAATGTAAAGTTAGGATTGAAATATTACAATGTTTAGAGTTTTTGTTTAAGGTGTTGGGAGTTCAATTTTTTGGAATTTGTATACAGATGTAGTTTAATATATATGTAGCTGTATACTATTAACAGTACTTCCATGTTGATTTTAGTTGATTACTCAACGAGGAATGACTTAAGGACTTGATGATGATGATGATGATGATGATGTTGACAAATTCACATGTATTAGCTGTTGAATTTCCATGAAATATGTCTTTCAATTCTGAGATTAGTGTGAATTTTGTACACATCTCCATCAAAACTGTCTTTTGTTCCCAACATTTCTGTGTCATTAAGCATTGTGTTGAGACTGTTAAATTAACATTTGAATTTGAACGTCTATTGTCAGGATTCCTTGTTTTGGAATAAACAGAAATCACAGGGTTAAATGTTGGATGTGAAATTATCACAATACTGTAGCTGTGCATTAAAACTTTGTGTTGTATTACATGAATTAAAACATATTGGGACAAATACATATTGCAATAATTCAGTTATATACTTAAAGTTTCTTATATAATAGACAAGAGTAGGCTGATCTGGAAAGGTCTTTATTGTCATTACTATGACATATGCACTTGATGATGAAGATAAGTTTTCATGTATTAGCTGTTGATATTCCATGAAATGTTTATTATTTCTGAGAGTGCTGGTCGTAAATCAACTAGAACCATCTCAAAGTTGTTCCAGTAATCCTTAACCCAAGGATGCTAGAAATGATTTACTTTGTTCAGTTTTCTGTTTATAGCATCTAAGCAAAAAATTAGATACATTCTCTGGGTATACATGGATAACCTTAAGTAAAGCTGGAATACTGGGCTTGGATAAATGATTTTCTGGAATAGCCCTTACTTTTGGTTAAAATTCTGTTCGTATTGTGAACTTGAGAGCTTTCACTAAACCACACCTAATTTGCTCCACCAGAAGATTGCAAGCAGAATGATTTTTCTGAAACCAATATCAATTTGTAGAACTGCAGAATTATATAGTGTATTTTGAGTGCAGATTGCAGTCCATGTGCGATATAATCAGTAATATTAGTAGCAGTATGATGATATCTTTGATAACTGGAGGGTTTAGGTTTGCTATGGCCGTTCTGGTTTGGCGTATAGCCTTTACCCAAAGATAACATGTCATAGTTACTCTGACTGCCAAAGGTGCTATATCATGAAAATTCAAGCAAACAAAAAAATTCTTGTAACATGTTGGGAAAATTGAGGGTAAGAAGCTAGGCATGAAAATATGTTATTTTAAGAGATCATTGTATATGGTTTATGTACAAGAGAGATTTTGACTCTTATAGTGTGAAAATTATCTTCAAAAGTTCAGGGTAGGCTCAGAATTGAAGGGTAGGTAAGGTTTCCCAGATCAAGAAAATATTTGTTTTACCTTAATGGTTGACATCAATATTTGTAAGGTAGACATTTCCATTCTCTGAAAGTGATTATTTCTGCAGATAATTACAAAACAAAATAATTAATTAGCAGTATGATGATGTTTGATGACTGGAGGGTTTAGGTTTGCTATGGCCGTTCTGGTTTGGCGTATAGCCTTTACCCAAAGATAACAAGTCATAGTTACTCTGACTGCTTTATCAAAGACTATATCTCCTTAGATATACACCAACTTACTCGCTAGATTGTAATGTTAAATGCCTTGGTCACTAAAAATGTTAAATTATATATACATTGAATAAGAGCTTTGTGGTATCATTGTTATGGCAAAATTTTAAAGAAAAAAAGGATTTATAAAATCATTTATTAGCAGTATGAAAATATTTAACCAGGAATGTTTGTCTCCAATATAGATACCTGTTCTCTTTTCATTTTGTTCCATTACAGCTTTTAGTAGTAATATTTATGAGACATGTTTTGGGGCAATAAGAAACCATGTATTGACTCTGTACATTTTTTTATCTTTGCAGCTAAGATTGCATCCAGACCAGGTCAGTGTGGTCGCTGTGACGGTTACATTCTGGAGGGTAAGGAGCTGGAATTCTACCTAAGGAAGCTCAAGACCAAGAAAGGGAAATAAACTTAATTTATACACCTGTGATGACTGTGCCAGAATAAAGGGGAGACAAATCACTGTTGTTTTTGTCTTGTGTTAAACATTGCCTTCCAAAAGTTTTTCAGTGTAAAAAAAAACCAGAACTTACTACATACATTTACAACCATTCCAGCAAAGTACCTATCCTAGTCCAGGTCTCTAGGTTTTGTGCAGAGGTCCCAAGCATAGAATTCAATTGATAGTGTGCATGTTCTCTTTGGGAGCGATTGCATGGGATTGCATAAATGTCCCTTTTAACATAAATAGAAATAGGTCTAAACCACTATTTCCAGTTAGATTGGACAATCATACTGACTTAATACATTGCATTCTAATCGGAAGTATTAGTCCAAAAGTTCAAATATGTAGATCCCTTTCACTGTAAATACTACTAAATGGCAAGTCATTTTCAGCCCATCAGCTCTTGTTCTTAAATTCACACTTCATAGTGCTTTCTTACACAACAATCTTTTAAATATGAAAGGGCAAATGTAATGGCTCGCTTCCTATAATAAAAAAAATCCACTCAACTCGTTCCCATTGGACCAATCAAACTCCAATGTCCACACTGCTGTGTTAGTGTTGTTGGCTCACGAACATCGGCTAGTCTACTTGTCATACAGCCTTGATTCTTCCGGAAGTAATTCATTATTGAGAAGAACCAGATGGAACTTTCTCGAATGTGTAGCGTTTGTTCACTTGGTCCTATGTTTTGCCATTTTGATTCTAGACCTGATAAAATCAAATTGACGAGCAGCCATCTTGTTTGACAATGAATGTTTATCACTCAAGAACTTGGGATCTTAATCCTAGTTATGTATATTCCTCTTGGTCCCTTATTGTGTCCATTTGATTTTAGAACCGACAAGAAAATCAAATTGACGAGCAGCCATCTTGTCGTTAGACCAAGTTTATCACTCAAGAACCTGGGATCTTAATCCTAGTTAATATGTATATTTCTCTTGGTCCCTAGTTGTGTCCATTTGACGAGATAAATAAGATGGCCAATCTTTTACTTGTCCCAGATATCTGTTGAGGACAGTCATGAAGTCCTAAATTATCTAGGTTGGTGAGATATGATACTTTCAAGTGTACTGATGTTAGTGAGCTGAGGAAACAGATTGACCTACAATTGTGTTTGTATCCTTTAGCGACACTTTCTTCTGTTGCCCGAAACAAAGTCGCATTTTTTTACTTCTAAAATAAGGCACGTGGTAATGAACCTGTAGAATGTTTGGATGAAGAGCTACCAAGTTAGTTTGAACAAACGACTTTGACCTACTTTCAAGGTCATAGGGTCAAATGTTTTATAAACATTATACGACTTTTACGTAATTTAGGACTGAAGCATGCTTGGATAAAGGGCTGCATACTTTGTTCAAAAGAACGACTGACCCATATGCAATATCATGGGTCAAATGTTCTTAAGATTTTCAAACGTCTTCTCAATAACCAAAAGGTCTAGGATACTGATATTGGCCACGTAGCATGCTTGAATTAAGAGTTTCGAGTTTGTTCAAACGGACGACCTTGATTCACAAGTTCACATGGCCCAATTGTTTAAATCTGACAACATCCCAATAAGCAAAAGGTCAGATACTATCAACGGGTATGTTGGGGTAAAGGACTACGAACTTTGTTTCAAATGAATGACCTTGACTGACTTAAAGGTCTTAAGGGTCAAATTCGTAACACCCCCACCTCTCCCAACCCCCAACCCCCCCCCCCCCCCAAAAAAAAAAAAAAAAAAAAAAGTCAATGACCCCTTCATTACGCAAAGGCGAAGGGCACTAACAGGCTTATAGCATGCTGGTATAAAAGTGGACTAAGATTGTTCAAAATAATGGCGTTGGCCAATTTTCGATGTCACAGCTAGGAGTCGAATATGTTAAAACCACTTTTATCTATAATAAGGCCCAGGGATCAGATATTTGCCCTGTAGTGTACTGTGATGAAGGACTACGACGTTTTTCTTTCAAATGAATGACCTTGACCCTAAGTCACAGGGGTCAAATATGTTGAGATATTTACGCAACTTCAACTCGATTCGATAACCTAAAGGTCCAGTGTGATATTTGCTGGGATTAAGGGCTACTAATTTTTTCCAAATGATTCACTGGAGAGGGTGAGTGAAATTTAGTGAAATTAACTTTTTTTGAGTTTATTGAGGTAAATTACGTTTTTTGATTGTTTCTTTTTATTCAAACTTTGTTTGATTCCACAACATGAGACGGACGTTGATTTTATGCACATTTTATATTTGCACTACATGAACAATGTTTCTATCTTTGTTGACAAGATGATTACTGTGACATGTTACAAAAATAACGATATTATTGACAGGTGGCCGTTAAGGTGCTTGTGCTTCTTGTCCTTATCGGTATGGCTGACATGGTATTACAGACTTCAGTCGTTGACTCAGAAATTAGAAAAGCCTAGAAACGGGACTGGTTTGCTGTTGTAGTTGTGTCCTGAGGCAGGAAACTTTACCATAATTGCTAGAAACGGAATGCAACGGTCCTCTCGTGTGTTGTTAGAGGAAGAAGCTACCAGCTTGTGTCCAGGGCGACTCCTCCTGTAAACGACCACGGTTTCCAGGGGAGATAAATCTTGCTCAAATATCATTTTAATATTTCGAAAGTTTTTTAAGAGACTGGTTTTTTTTTTTGTAATTGTTTTATTTTTCAAGAGCACAACACAATCAAAGAACAAACATAACAATATATCAGATGGATTTGATTATCACTCATCATCACCTATTTGAGAAAAACACACGTCATCATCAGCATTCTCATCACTCTCGATCACACTTTAGCTCATATAATCATCATCATCATCATCATCATCATCATCATCATCATGTGATCATCCATCATCATCATCATCATCATCATCATCATCATCATCATGTGATCGTCCATCATCATCATCATCATCATGTGATCATCCATCATCATCATCATCATCATCATCATCATGTGATCGTCCATCATCATCATCATCATCATCATGTGATCGTCCATCATCATCATCATCATCATCATCATCATCATCATCATGTGATCGTCCATCATCATCATCATCATCATCATCATCAACATGTGATCATTCCTTATCATCCATCATCATCATCATCATTACGATCATCATGTGATCATCCATCATCATCATCATCATCATCATTTCCACTCAACACCACCATCATCATACATACATACTTTACACCTCATCACTATCATCATTCATAATCCATCATCATCATACACACCTAATATTGTCATTCATCCAAGCCTTACACCATCAGCATATTCTTCATTTTCATTGTGTGTGTCCTATTTTTTTTTTTTTTTTTGAAAAGAAAAAGAGAGGGTAAACAAATAAATAAATAAGTAAATAAAGAGAGAGGGAAAGAGAGAGACAGACAGGATAAAAGTCAATAAAAGGAAAGACAAAGATAAAGATATAGAAAGCGAAATAAAAAGTAGAAACTGACGAGTAAAAAACGGGGAACAAGATAATTTATCTTGGGGTAATTTTCAAAATCTCAAGGAAAGATGCAGATTCAATATTTCTTAAAGAAACGTTCATAATGAAACTGTCAAGGGTATTGGGGAAAGGTTTTAGAAAAAATAAAAAACTATCATCAAAAACACAGAAGAATTATTTATAGAGTAAGAATTTTTTCCCATTTCTTCCATTCATTCTTAAAAAGTTCAAGAGAGTGGTCTCCCTTACCAGTAGCAATATACTTTTTAATATTATGATGATCCTTTATTAGATTTACAAGGGCATTTATGTTCAACTTACTGTTCAAGCATCTAATTTTATAGATATATTGCTTAATGATTATATTAATCTCATTGTCGATTTTACTATACACTTTTCTCGCAGAAAAGAAGCCAAACAAAATGGACTCTTTGTTGAGAGTAAAGGGGATAAGTAGTGCCTCTAGAAGAATTTCAAAGCTTTGCAGAAAGTTTTGAACCATTTCACATTCCCAGAAGATATGATTGATAGTTTCTGTTTCAGATTTACAGAAGGTACAGAATGGACTGTCAACTATGCCTGCTTTATAGAGAATAGAGTTTGTTGTTAAAATATAATGCAAAATTCTGTACTGAAACCACTGGAAGTTAGAATTATTTGTTATTTTAAAAGGTAAGGTAAAGATATTAGCCCAGATATGATCTTCAAAATCGAATTGTTTGGCCCACTTTTTCCTTCCAGTGGGAATTTCATTGTTTTCCACAAAACATTGATACAAATCTTTAGTGCCCTTTAATTTAGAGAAGAAAGGTTCTATGCTACAAGGGATAAATGGCAAACAGAAATCAGAGTCTAAAATTCTCTGCAAGTCAATATTATTCCGAATAGAGTTCAACAGCCCTTGAAATCTAAGAAAGTTTGTTTTTAACCCATATTTCTCAATAAATTCATTAAAAGAATAAAAAGTAATTGTACTTTTATCTTTAATCATATCATTTACCACCCTTATTCCCTTAGTGAACCAATCTTTATAAAAAACAGATTTCCCACCAATAGTCAGCTGTGGATTATACCATAGAGGAGTTTTAAGAGGAGACTGCTGTCTACCTTTCTCTTTAGACTTCAATATCAATAATTGCTCCCATGCCTTAAAAACATCACACCAAAACTTATTTTTACATTTTTCTTTACAAATCTTAAAATAATCACTTCCACAATTCATAGCTATGTCATTATTTAACAATCTAGAAAATAAAATTTTCCACTTGCTCGTAGATGGACTTAAAAATCTCTGGAGCCAACCTAATTTCAGTGCGCTAATAAAGGCTTGAATGTTAATCATCTTTAAACCACCTTCAGAAAAATTCTTGGTGATGATATTTCTTTTCACCTTATCAGTTTTCCCACCCCACAAGAAATTGAAAAGGATTGTATTTAGTGAATTAATGAAAGTAGTATTTGGATTAGGAAGAGCAATAAATAAATGATTAAATTGAGAAATTAAAAGTAACTTTATGATTTGTATCTTTCCTATAGGTGTCAATATTCTTCTACTCCAAGCCTTCATCAAAGATTTTAGTTTAATTAGTTTTTTGTCAAAATTCATTTTAGGCATTTCGTGCAGATTTACACTAAAATCAATACCTAATAAAGTAAATTTCTCTCTCCCCCACTGTAGATTTAATTCCGGAAAAAAAAATATCTGTACTAAATTTTTTATTGCCTATCCATATTACCTGTGTTTTGCTTGTATTAATTCTTAATCCAGAGACACTTGCAAATAAATTCAGCTCAACAATAGATTCACCCAAAGATTTTTCAGACCCGTCAAGTATTAGGGATGTATCATCGGCATACTGTGAGAGAAGAATGGGGAAGTTGCATACATTTATACCTCTTATGTTTTTGTTATTTCTTAATCTAATAGCTAAGATTTCAGTGCATAATATAAAGATATAGGGTGCGATTGGATCGCCCTGTCGGCAACCACGCTTGATAGTGAAGAAATTTGACAAGTTCCCCCCTTGATTCACTGCTGAACTAACATTTCTATGAAAAGTTTTCACCCACTTCCTAATACCCTCCCCGAAGCCAAAAAAGTTAAGCGTTTTATCTATAAATTCCCATGCCACTGAATCAAAGGCTTTTTCAAAGTCAACTATTAGGAGCATTCCAGGTATATTATTTTCCTCAGTAAAGTTCATTATATCGTAGATAAGTCTAGTGTTTTCACCGATATAGCGCCCAGATAGAAATCCTGTTTGGTCATTTTCAATAAGTTTACCTAGAACAGATTTTATTCTATTTGCAATAACCCCTGATGCAATTTTATAAACAATATTCAAAAGTGAAATGGGGCGCCAGTTTTTTAAAAAGTGTCTCGGTTTGTCTCCCTTAGGTATACAAGTGATAATTCCTTGTCTTTGTGTGATAGAAAGTTCATTAACTGAGTATCCAAAATTTAGTGACCTAACAATAAAAGTACCTAGTTGTTTCCAGAAGCATTTAAAAAATTCTGTAGTGAAGCCATCAGAACCAGGACTCTTGTTATTCTTCATTTTACTAAGTGTTTTACCTGCTTCTTCAAGTGTAATATTACCTTCTAGTGATTCTGATTCTATATTGTCTAATTTTGGAACATTAAAATCATTCATAAAATCTTCCAGATTAACATCAGATATATTATCTGAGACACCATATAATTTCTCATAAAAATCATGAACTTCAGTTAGAATTGCACACTGATCTGTAATTAACACCTCATCTTTCTGAACTTTGGGAATTATTTTTGAAGTATAATTTCTGTTTTCTAGGCCAAAAAAATATGATGTGGATTTCTCCCCTTCCTCTACCCATTTCGCCCTTGATCTGATAATATTTCCTTGTATTTTATGTAACCTAATTATCTCTAGTTCTTTTTTCTTATTCATCAGTTCAACTATGTCCATGTTTTCACTATTTTCTAATTCCTCTATAGACTTCTTTAGACTTTCTTCTCTAATATTCTGCGTTTTTTTCAAATAACTTGAGTAAGAAATTGTTTTTCCCCTAATTTCCATCAATAAGACTTCTAAAAACAACTGATCATCAATACTAAAGTGTAAATCTGAATCTGACATTGTTAAGATAGAATCTAAATTATAAACAGGTAAACAGTATCTGACTTTCATATCTTCAATACAGGTCTTAACCAGTTTCAGGTATTCCAAATCATTTAAGAGTGAGTTATTGAATTTCCATAACCCCTTTCCTTTTTTGAATTTATTAAACTTTAAGCTGATTTTAGGAATTGAATGATCTGATTTATATCCTGGCTCTATAGAAGAATTTACGCAACTGGATAACAGACACTCAGACACAAGAAAAAAATCAAGTCTAGCCTGTTTAACCGGATTAGTCCTTCTCCATGTGTATCTTCTAGAAAATTCATGATGTTCTCTAAAAATGTCTACTAAACCATAGTTTTCCATGAGTTCACCTACCTTTTCTCTTGCCTTAGGGTTATTTACATTTTTGTAGGTATTATCATAATCTATTTCTGGTTTTAAAACTAAATTAAAATCACCACAAATAATAACATCAGAGTTTCCTAGTTCCTCAACAACATCAACAATATTACTATAAAAGCCTGGATTATCCTGATTTGGACCATATATAGTTATGAGAGTAATTCTTGAACCTTCAATATTCATATCTAGGGCCAGAAAATTACCAGTATCATCTTTCTTTTCCTTATTAACCTTATATTCAAAATTATTATTTATGAGTATAGCTACACCCCTAGCATTGGACTTATAGAAATTAAAATAACACTCATACCCCCATTCACTTCTATAGATGTTTTCTTTATCTTGAGTGAAATGAGTATCCTGTAGACAAAATATATTACATGATTTACTTCTCAAGTAAGAAAAAACGTCTTTTCGTTTTACCCGATCCCCAAGACCCTGACAGTTTGAACTCAAAATCGTTATGTTATCAGCAGTATGTAGTAATAGACAAAAAGTAAATATAAGGTGTAACCCCAATCATTTTCCCGAAGCGAAACTTTGCCCATTTTCGTCAGAAGAAAACAGAACAGAAAAGAGACAGAAAGAGAGGAGAAAAGAAGAATAAAAAGTATCACAAAGGTCTGAGTCAAGACAACTTTACGACTCCGCGCCCTGAAGCAAAACAGTTAAGAAAAGTTTACCAGGCAAGACTCGTGCACAGGAACGGGAACGAGGTACAAAAAGGAAGTAGCCATTTCTACCGGAAGTACTATAGTAAAGATTGAAAAAACTAAGGTTATAATCCGTATTCTCCTGAAACTAGTGGAGGAAAAAAAAAAAAAAAAAACGGGTTCAGATTTTGAGTAAATCAACAACGTAACAATAGAAATAAAATAAAATAATTGAATCCACTGATACAAAAATTATGAAAATGTATAGCGGACCGATAGTTAGTGAAGAGAGAAAGGTAGAGGGAAAAAAAGAGGACGTGTTAACCTAGCTAGTAACGATTACTGTATATGGATCATCTTGTTACACTTATTGTGTAACGATAAACAGAAAAATATGACATACCTTAAATATCGAATTCCTTAATTCCAAGGTATAATTTCCAAGGGAACTCACACACATAAATTATATCACAACACACAAATATTATATCACAACACATGCACCTAGATCACGACTAATCGGTAACCGGGTAATTCCCGGAAAGGTCCATTACCGATTTAGCGTGACGCGATCAAACACATTGTCACTTACGAAAAATCGTCCCTTTTGGATCGTCTGAAATTCTCGTCCTTCATAAGGAAATCGTCAGTGAGAGGAATATCAAAAGAAAGCCTACGCTTTCTACCGTCCATTAGAATAGCATACAGAGACTGGTTTTGATTGGCAGTTAAATGATGTGTATTTCAATTCCAATTTAATAATGTCCCAGTCTTGGCGCATCAAGGCCCGTGATTGTTGTTGCTATTTCTCTTGAGGGCTAAAGAAAATTGTAACCATATTTCATGTACAGTGTAGTTAATTGTATAAATGAAATTAATACGATCCTCGAAACCCAAACGTAGTAAAAGGACAATTTATGTAAATAAAAATCCAGCTCCTAGCGTCATAGATTATTACGGTATATTTGTGTCAAACATTACCAGAAAAAAAAATAAACGAAGTTCGTTTGAATGTATTTGGAACAATTTAGGGCCAGCCCCAAAAGGCAGGCAATATTTGGAATTTTTAGTGATGTTTAACTGGAAAATGCATGCCACGCTTTGTTCCTGGCTCTTCAACACGTCATAAACTGTCGACAAAAATGCATTTGCAAGTGATACAGGTATGTTCGGCCTGTTGACCGAAATTTTCCTGTTCTGAGTGAGTACAATATCTCGGCTTTCCTTTTATAAAAACCTAGTCCAATGAAAGCTAGTGGGGCCTCTGCATCTCGGGTCTTATGAGGTTGTAATGTACACTTACAACGGATTTTATACTTAGTGTATATACAAGTTACTCAATTATGACATCCACAAAGATATGAGTCAGAAGCCTTTATGTTTTACATATATATAATGATATCCGTCTACAGGAACTGTTGTGAACTGGAGAAGCTAATTTATATAGCAATAAAGATAAACACATTTACATGTAGTAGACAGAAATATTTATTTACCAAACATCTGCTTTATTCGGTGATATTCAATACAGAAACTGTGAACATATATTTCATAGGAATGTATATGTCTATTAAAATATTGAGGTTTAGTTACTGTACTATCTTATGTAAGTAATATATGTTGGCTAATCAGTCGACTCATACTTAAAGTCCAGTCAAGTGATCGATTACCGAGGGTTTTCAGACATCACAAAGCACGATTCACATGGTGTTGTTTTCTTTAAAGTAAAACCATTGAATATTCGTTTTTACAATCATTGGATGGTCCTACGGTCTCGTGGCATCATCGAGCCGCTTCTTTGTGTTCTATTGCTATTCATAGACGGTGTATGTCACAGGATTTGTAAGAGAACGATGGAAATGCTGATACGTCAAACACAATTCAATCTTAACGTCAATGAACTGATGGCTAAATATGGACCAAGAAAACGATTTTACTTGCGAGACCTCTGGAAACCTACAATGAGAATACGACCATGGCCCCACGGCCAAACACCGGCTACTTTAATCTTGTCAATCCAAGAGAATTGTTAAGTTATCACCAGTTACCATCAGTTAACAGGGTTTACAACAACAGAACCACTACGTCATACTAGCATAATTCTATCCCTCACATCTTGTCCGTTTAATGTCTATTTACTGGTGTGTGTACTTGGTATTTGGTGAACTTCCATACTTTCTTAGTAAGATACCAATACCATCAATGACCTTCAATACTCAATTCTGTACGGATAAGATGGCTCTCAGTCTGGTGTCGAACTTCCGGTATGGTTTCGGAAGTACCGGAAATGCGTGACACAGTACCCGCGCTCCTTTAAAGCGCGTCAGACGTTGTTTGTCATGGCTATGTAGTACAGATGGAATGTATTTGCCGCCAAGCCGATCATATTGATCCCGCCGCTTAATCCATGAGATAGCCGGAAGGTTCTATTGACGCATGCGTATTCTGGGTTCATAAGGAGGTCAGATAGGTCGGTGAATCCGATCTCGTAAGCTTTGCCGGACTTCTTCTCCATTGAGAATCGCATTAGCATACTGTCCACTATGACAGGAGAGAGGAGGAAAGCGTTTATAAAGTCTGCCCCTAGGCTCACAACTAGGGCGACTATCTGTAACAAACAGAGAAGTTAAACTTAGTAAATACGAACGTGATGGTTGACATTTTGTTGACGTACAATTCATGATCATATCTGGCTTTCCAGGTTATTTCTAAATAAAAAAAATGAATTGCTACATTCGTTGAATCAATATAATAAGTTGATAATTATTGAAACAAAACATCACACCATTCTGAACGTCTGAATGTTTACTTCATATCTAATTCATATGTACATATTGATTAAATATGTAATGATAGTGATGTATGGAAAGGGCGTGAATTAGGGATAACTTGTTAAAGAAACGGATTTATTTCAAATACAATGTATATGGCTTTTGTCAGAATGTTATGTACGGAAAGACGACAAAAGTAATAAAATTACTGTTTTTATGTGCGTAACCGACGGAAAATGATTCAGCAAGCAGAACAAATATTGAGCGTGGTGATTTTTAGAATCGCATTTAAGTTTACAAATATATTTGTTGTAATACATCTCCTGTACATGAACGTTTTAATGGTTTACATGACATTTACCTGTATAAATACATCGTCGTCGCCATGTTTATGACGAGATACAAAGGTTGCTATAGTGACTGATGACGTGACGAACCCGAAACAGAAAAAGAGCGGGAACAGTTTACTTTGCACGTGGCCAAACCATATACGTGGTAGGTTAAAAAACAGCAGAAGTCCTGAAATAACAAGCAGAAAGCAATGACGTCAGCAGCGGCGAAAATTTAATCTAATTTAATTAAACAACTCGTATGATACCCTCGTTATGTCTAATAATGGTACTGAGACCTGAAATATGAAATATTTGCGATGGTCAACATGTTACATTTGCAAAGAGAAACATCATTATCAGTATTACCTGCTACAAACGTCATCCAAAATTGTGCTCCATAATGTGACACGAATGTGAAGAAGTAAAGGAAGTTGAAGACCTTTGAACTTTGGTCCGTCGAAGAGTTGCCTGGATACAGGGCAAAGCTGAGAGATATTGTAGCCAAAATTGCGGCGAGGTAGCGAACTTGTGGAATTCTATAAAAGGAAAGATTCTGATGTCAATCATATACTGTAAAATCACGTGTTTTCGAGGGTCTCAATTTTCGTCGTTTTAAAAAACACCCTTTCGTTCACAGTTTGTGACTGGATAATGTTCAATAAATTTGTACTAATTCCTACCATGACATAATTTGTGAATAAAGAAAGCCCACGGAAAGAACGAAAATAAATCCCCCGTGAAAATTATTGACGAAATAACATTCATGTATACGTCATGTAAAATATAAACAAGCGGAGCGTCATGGGATTCGCACTACATAGTGTTGAATGGGAAATCACGAAGAAACTGAGGCAACAAACGTGGATAGCCTTCTAGAGTTTTGATATGATTATGAATCTTCTGTATGAAAATGACTAATATAATTCTGCTGCAACATCAGCGATTCGACTTTTTTCCACGTCCCTTTTCATTTCTCGGCCCTCTTTTGCTTTCCAAGACAAGACATAACAAACTACCTTGCCCTTTCATTAACGGTGTGTGCGTAAAGATTCGTTTGTCTCCTGCCAAGATAATGTCACACTTCTAGTACGACAGACCTCTCATATATTGATAGTACTCTGTCCTATTGGTCTACAGGTACTATATAACATGACCGGCTGGGGTTCAGCTGGCTGTTATCGGATCCTCTCAATATACTGAAATCTAAAAATCTTAAATTTACACGTGATTCTTATCTATCCATATACTAGTCATTAGAATCGAGGAGGATAATTTTCTTTAAATTATACACATTTATTATCATTATTGTATCTAATATATATTTGTTTTCAAATTACACCGTAATTTTAATACAACTCTGAACGCTTAATTGAATTCTACCGGTCCAGGTTATGATATTGCAGTGAAACAACACTTTAAAATGCCCTGTCGCTGGCATCGCTGGTCATGTACACCGCCTTCAAACCAAATATTTCTAATGCACAAAGGAATCAGCCTGCTGGCAATTGGTATATCTCATCATTACGACATTTAAAAAGCTATGAAGATGTACATATTTTCTTAACTAGATGCCTTTCCTTTACGTTTTAGTTGTGATCAGGCGCGTGACACCTCTAACAGCGAAAAAATCCATGCATCCATACCAGGAATACCAGGAATGCATAATTAAATAAAAACGTCATTATACACATACTTAATCTTCGACACGTGGAGGGAATCCCCCCAACATGAAGAAGATCAGGAATTAGGGAATCCCTGTCTAGTAGGGAAAATCCTTGTCAGATAGAGGGGATCCCCAGTTTAAAGATCGCGTCCTTGCCAGGTATTAGAGGGAATCCGCGGAAATCCAGATGAAGTAGTCGGAAGGTCGCCTTAAGGTCGAGATAACCTCAATGATAGTGATATAAATTATAAAAGAACATGTCAGAAATTTTTGAATGTGTAGTTCATACCGGTGGAAAAACTTACCTTAAATTCATCATGGTGAAGATTGAGACAATGACTCCGTGTTAATACCACACACTATCTTCCTTTAAATTACCTAAGACAAGCATATATATACACATTACAGTCTGATGGTCAGCACGTACGATTTCAAGTTTACGTCATTCTTTGAAGTATTTTGACAAATCAACGCACATACATCGCGTACCATACTACGTAATGCGGGGTCGTCGGTACCGGGAGTAAAGACGTTCGCTTGTGTTATCTTACTACCAGCCACTGAAGCTTGTGTAGTACCAGACATACCACTGAAGGAACTCCGAACGTCGTTGTTGTGTGACGAGTAATGTGTACCGGTCTTGTATCGTCAATAGCTTTGTCCATTATGACTCATTCGCTGAGAGGCCGTAATAGTGGACGTAAACCCCGTTAGATAGAATGAAGTCTATTATGGAAGCAGCATAGTACAATCTGCTTGAAATGATAACTTTATACACTATTGCGTGAACGAAGGGTACCGTGTGGTATTTCAATCAGAATACCAAAGATTTTTTTATAAAACACGTAAATTTGTACACAAAATTTCTTTTTACAATAAATTTTTTCTTGTTATTGTTATCATATGATCAAGAATTTCCCGTTTTTAGTTACAACGTGATATATTTATCCAAGTTACATGAGATATACTAGCATCAGGAAACGCGGTTATGAAAAACGATGTTAAAAGTGTTTCCATGACAACAAATGTTCGCTGTTATGTTAATTTCGCGGATTTGCTGTACCGTTGAAAACACCTAACTTAAAAAAAACTTTAGTTACAAAGCATACAGTGAACAATCTTTTAACAATTTGTACTTCTAAAAATCCATCGCACAAATGGGAATTAAGGCATTACATTGTACTAAGATCAATACATAACGAATCTAGTCTTGAAACTGTCATTTGTGTCCAACATTACGGACCCAGCTGGACAAATCGAACAGCTTGCTGATTTAAACATATTTTATTATCAATATTAGATAAATGGATGTGAGAAAAGTTCTAGCAACTTATGAACTCTTCTCCATAAATGAAATTACAAGTAATTACTATACTGCACGTGACACATATTTGTACTATAAATATGAAGATAAGTAATTCGTAAACGTACAATTGTAAGTTTAAATCATTTTGTCAAAAGGAGGAAAAGACGAGATGATAGGATAGAAAGAAAAGAAGAGAAAAGAGAGAGTATAGATTTTATATCAATTTTATATCAATTCAGTGCCGACTACAAACAGTTCAGAATTAGGTAGTGGTAGTGTTTTATTTACATTTGAACGGATTTAACAATATTAATAATGAACATGTATGGATATAGTGAGTTGTGTCTTCAATACCAACACCACGTTTACAATTCGGGGATTGACAAATACCGTGAACCCTATATAAATCTGAACGCGAGCCACTACAGTAATGTCTAATGCGGTCATGTATAACAGAGAGGTATCGATTATTACAATGTCAATAATCATGAACTGCAGAGTGTATGCGGGATAGTTTGGTTCTAAATGTTTAAGTGATACAGCCAATTCAGTAGAACTGTCTAAATTATTCCACAAATTTATAGACGACGGAACAAAAGACTTGTTCATAATATCCAGACGACTTCGGGGGACTTGATAGTTGTCTGGATTTCTTAACTCCATGTTTAAGTCACGCCAATTAGGTGGTATCAAGTATGGAGGGACGTTTTTGATATGTATTTTGTAGAAAGTGGTAAGCTTTGATTCCTCTCTTCTCTGTTTGAGTGGATTCCAACATGTCTCAGTATATAAAGAGTCACGAGAATGGATGTAAGGCCAGAGACGATTCTAACTGTTTCTAACTGAACTTTTTCTAGGGAGTTGGACAAGTGTTCCGAACATCCATCCCAAACACACGAGGCATATTCAAGCATAGGTCGTATAAATGATACATATATAGTATTGAGAGTAGACTTATCTACTTTATACTTCAGTATTTTTAAAGCGATAACTTTTTTCAGCATGCTCCTTCTGACCAGGACAGGACAGCTCTGTTGATATGTACATATTTGCCAACATGACAGCTTGATATGACGTGTTAGATCAGGAGGTCCTTAACTTCTAATTACATGCATACAAACATTTACTCGTAAGACTTGAAATGGCGGTCAGTGGCGTTGTAGTCCAGACCTAGGGTCATCATACATTTACAGAGACAGACCTAGGGTCATCATACATTTACAGAGACAGACCTAGGTGCATCATACATTTACAGAGACAGACCTACGTGTATGATACATTTACAGAGACAGACCAAGATGTATGATACATTTACAGAGACAGACCTAGGTGTATGATATATTTACAGAGACAGACCTAGATGTATGATACATTTACAGATAAAGACCTAGGTGTATGGTACATTTACAGAGACAGACCTAGGTGTATGATACATTTACTGAGACAGACCTGGGTGTATATAGATTTACAGAGACAGACCTAGATGTATGATACATTTACAGAGACAGACCTAGATGTATGATACATTTACAGAGACAGCCTAGACGTATGACACATTTACAGAGACAGACCTAGACGTATGACACATTTACTGAGACAGACCTGGGTGTATATAAATTTACAGAGACAGACCTAGTTGTATGATACATTTACAGAGACAGACCTAGATGTATGATACATTTACAGATACAGAACTGGGTGTATGATACATTTACAGATACAGACCTAGATGTATGATACATTTACAGAGACAGACCTGTGTGTATGATACATTTACAGATACAGACCTGGGTGTATGATACATTTACAGATACAGACCTGGGTGTATGATACATTTACAGAGACAGACCTAGGTGTATAATACATTTACAGATACAGACCTGGGTGTATGATACATTTACAGAGACAGACCTAGATGTATGATACATTTACAGAGACAGACCTAGATGTATGATACCTTTACATAGACAGACCTAGATGTATGATACATTTACAGAGACAGACCTAGATGTATGATACATTCACAGAGACAGATATAGATGTATGATACATTTACAGAGACAGACCTAGGTGTATGATACATTTACAGAGACAGACCTAGACGTATGACATATTTACAGAGACAGACCTAGGTGTATGATACATTTACAGAGACAGACCTAGATGTATGATACATTTACAGAGACAGACCTAGATGTATGATACATTTACAGAGACAGACCTAGGTGTATGATACATTTACAGAGACAGACCTAGATGTATGATACATTTACAGAGACAGACCTAGGTGCATCATACATTTACAGAGACAGACATAAGTGTATGATACATTTACAGAGACAGACCTAGGTGTATGATATATTAACAGATACAGACCTAGATGTATGATATATTTACAGAGACAGACCTAGGTGCATCATACATTTACAGAGACAGACCTAGATGTATGATACATTTACAGATACAGACCTAGATGTATGATACATTTACAGAGACAGACCTGTGTGTATGATACATTTACAGAGACAGACCTAGATGTATGATATATTAACAGATACAGACCTAGATGTATGATACATTTACAGAGACAGACCTGTGTGTATGATACATTTACAGAGACAGACCTAGATGTATGATATATTAACAGATACAGACCTAGATGTATGATATATTTACAGAGACAGACCTAGGTGCATCATACATTTACAGAGACAGACCTAGATGTATGATACATTTACAGAGACAGACCTGTGTGTATGATACATTTACAGATACAGACCTAGATGTATGATATATTTACAGAGACAGACCTAGATGTATGATATATTTACAGAGACAGCCTAGACGTATGACACATTTACAGAGACAGACCTAGACGTATGACACATTTACAGAGACAGACCTAGACGTATGACACATTTACAGAGACAGACCTAGATGTATGATACATTTTATCAATATCGTTAACTATTGTATTAAACTCGTCAAAATAACATTAATAAGAGCATGGTTCTAACCAGTGATTAGATGTAATGGACAAATGTAGGCCGCAGCCTCGCAGGTGGCCTACAAATGTCCATTTCCTGCACGTGATGGTCGTTATAAACTTAAAATGTTAACTAGGTTATAACGTGCCTTCACATAGTACAAGTCTGCAGCACGTCTAGCAATTCCTTGTAGTACCGATTTTTCATGGATTTTACCGTTGGTAGATAAGCTGAAACTATGACGTATGTTACAGGGACTTGGTACGAATTCCCAACCCAGTGTCCATATCTGACAATAATTATATGGACCATGGGTCGGGAATTCATGCAAGGTCGACGTGGCTTTTGAGTCAACATTAACATGCACTCTACTTTGGACTAACATTTTCTTGTCTTAGAATCAATTCTATTGTATACTTATCACATATACATATACTTAGGTGATGTTTTGTGTTATGTTTGAAACTTAATTTACTATACACTATATTTAAAAAAGTTAATTTAAAACAATTATGCTGATCAAAAGTAATGAAATATGTGATTCTAGATTTTATCATGCAACAATCTAGCCAACATCAGCTTGACATGACGAAATCAGTTGGCGACACTGTATACCCTAAGTAGGAACTTTTATCAATCACAGGTAGATATTTTTCTTTTAGACTGTTTAATTTATGCAATACCTTATATCTCCTCCAACAGGCCGGCTTTCATTTATCACTGATACATACATATATATATGACCTAGGTGACTTATAAGAGTTAAGTTCGCTACCGTAATTAAAATCGATTGATCTTGAACATATATATATATATATATATATATATAAATTTCAAATATCAATAATTCTTTCAAGATTAATTGGTTTTAATTACGATATCGAACATAAAATAGTTAACTTAAGAATGAAACAAGATCGTTGACGCATGCAGTAAAATACCTTGTTGATCATGGTAGCAAAAAATCACAGGGAGCTCTTACCTTGGTTATATTGGAGGACATAGCTACAAATCAACCTTGTGTACAACTAGTACAGTGGGCAGTTACGTATAGATTGCTAGTCAACAATCATACGGAGCTTTTGTGATATTTTTATGCTCTCACGTTCACTCAAAAAATATTTAAAAAAAAACTTTGCTCAAATATTTGAGTTGGGAATTTTTCATGAAAATGTGTTCAAATATTAGCATCGGAAAAATTGATAATTATCGATAATACATGTTCTCGGCCAACTTTAAAAGGCAAGCTAGATTTTCGCCGTATCCATGTTGCGTTGTTTTGTTAAAAGGCCGGAATTTTATGAGTGAACGGAGCTTATTGCATATTCATGTTTTTGTGCAGAATATAGTGACAAACAGGGGAGGTGGTTATCTCTATCGAAGAAGTGGAAAGCTAATTAATGTACAATAAAACGTCAGAACTTTTCATATCTCGTGTTTTTTTTTCAAAAAACGTGAAATGCATTCAAACCTTATGCTTTCAAATGTGTAGGTATCTTTTCAGGTTTTGCTAATGCACAGAATTAATTAGGTTTAAGTCCGTGGTTCATTGAATGCAAATGATCCAAGAAAACGAGTGCCAATGTCAAATTGGTCCACGATTTTAAGTCTCTTCAGAACTCACTTTGTGAAGATTTTTCTGTTTCAGTCAACATATCAGTATTTTTTATTCGGTTAAATTTTTGTCTCCAAATTAAAGTTACAACTATCTCTTTGTCTGTACATTTGAAATATGTTTCTGATTTATCACACAGTTCAACAGCCTTAAACATTGATATTCTGTAAAGTATAGCTTTCTCATCCAAAGAGAATACTTTTTATTTTACTTTTTATTTTAAAGTTTTACAACTGTAGTCGATGTTTTTTGTTTCCCGTACACAATATGGACCTCACCTGAGAAATACAAGGGAGACCACTCTAACAAACCGGATATTGAGAATCCATCATGGATTTGTTTGGCAGTTGACAATACGAGCTTCAGGTGTGTTTTATAGATACAAAAAATGCACTCATAAGAAATATGGGCGTCACCTTACGTGAAAACTTGTTTGTTACTTTCATAGAACCACCATGTTAAATTTTGTTACGATATACCAGGTAGTGTAGGACAACAGACTTGGAATATTATGGCTAATCCGAAAGGTATTGAACTTCGATCACACGTGCTTGCATTTTTTACTTTTTTTCACCGTCTTTTTTTCTATCATCTGTTTTAGTTAAGATATTTCGAGAGAAGTGCGGCCGGTAACGCATTTTCATTATCAAATTATCTGCGAGTTATTTTTTTTTAATCAGGGCCGCAGATAACTGTTATCTACGTCCCTGCTTTTATCAAAAAGCTTGCTAACTAATCATAAGCTGTGTTACTTTTAATCAACTTAACCGTATCGTATCCATTAAATGAGCTGTCAGCAGAGAACCAGTCATTTCATATCGTCAGAATACAATCTGTGTATGCTATGGAAATTCTATTTATTCTCAGATGAACCAGAGACGTATATATGTGTTGTATATGTCTATGGATGAACTAACCTTGGAAGCAAATGTTGTGCTGTGAAAATAATTTTTCTGTCATTTTACATATAGTATCACTACTCTTAGTTTACATGTAAAACGTCTTATTCTGGTGATACTGCTATTGTTAAGTAGGTAGAGTATACATAATTCGTATGCATGGAAATAACTCTTTAACACAATTATAAATACGATTAAACTTTATTCAAGTCGGATACATTTATGCAGACATCAGCTCACTAGAGCTGTTATTGTGACAAACAATAATGTATATTTTGTATTGATAACAACAATGTATAAAATCAGAGTAAAAAACTAGTGTAAAATCATTAATCTCAATTATTGGGACTTTTTTTGTTGAAATATATATGTATAATATACTGAGCTGTTAAAATCAGTATAATTAGGTTTATTTAACTATATTAATCCCTGAAATCAAGTGTCCACAAAAAATGAGTGATTTTGCAGTATATAATTACCTCAGGATTAGATGGCAAGAAATATCAGATTATTATGTAGTTTATATCTATAAACACTGTGTTCCTATAGATAAGGATTAAATACTTTCTAGGACAGGTGTAATTTGCTTGTATAGTAATCTGACAAAAGGGAAAATTTTACAGAATATATGCTAATATAGTGTGATTTAAAAAGAGTGTTATCAGGAACTTCAAGCAAGGTAGAAAGCTGTCTTAGACCATACTCCAAGGAGTTTCAAGAAATTAATTTCTATGGTGATCTTCTGACTACTAACACTTGAACTACAATACACCACAGCACTAATTCTGAACAAGTTTCTTATTTATCCTATGTCGGGTGTTGCTAGTCCTGTGATTAGTGAAACATTCTGAAAGTGTAACTTTGATTTTGTGTATGTATTGTGTATTTATAGGCTGCCATGGATGAGAAGCTTGAATGAAATGACGGGTAGATGATGAGATACAAATCTAGAGACATGAAGAATCGGTATGATTATCAACTCTCAGTGATTTTTCATACCCTTTGATGGGTCTGAGAAGAGATGTATGCTCTTCAATAAAATGCACTTCAATAATTCAACAATATTACACATACATTAATTTTATTTTGGATAGGAAAACATGCCAAAAGCTAACCAGTATATCAATTAATTTCCAAAAAATAATTCAAAATTTGAGTCAAGAATTCTAGCTGTGTGTGATTTAATCTGCGATCAAGATAATGAATATTGGTCTTAATTGGTATTGAATCATATTTTAGCAGTCAAATAGACTTTGCTGGATTCAGTAAGATTTTTTTTGTCCTATTATCATTATATAAAGAATAGGCCACTTAACAATGTAAGTCAGTGGGGTCAGGTAACAAGAATAGTTACCTCATTTTCAATAGGTCATGGTATAAATCCAATTAAAAAAGAAATGATAATCAAATATTGAAAAGTCAAGATTGTTTTAGTACACAAATGACTACATGACATGTGATCGCAACCAAAATAAAATTTAATGATTCGTGCAAATTTCTACCATTTCTACAATTTGTTGACCAGACTCAAATTTAGACTTGCCCTATTGGTCCAGCAGTAAGTCTGTGGTGCTAACACATCAACTTTGACTCAAAGCCAGGCATTGGGTTTATTACTGGACATTTGAAAACCATTTGTTAGTAAGTCTATAGTACGTACTGAACAGCAATAGATATATGGTTAAGCTTATCACCAAACATGTATATTAATAGATCTGTATTTTACGCAGGAATTAAGATTCTATTCCGAAACAAAATATTTATATTGATATTTACAATGAAATTTTCCCAAAAAATTGTCATTTTGTGTGAACTGATGTTATTTTCATTGATGTTACCTGTCTTAATTTGATAATTTTCAGAATCAAACATTTTCTGTGGAAGCACAAGCCATTTTGGAGATTATACCTACGTAACTTTGTCATCGTGACAATTATTGTACTGTGTTCTATCTTCATCGCCTGTCTCAATGAAGGTAAGTCTGTACCTGTTGTACTGTGTTGTGTCTTCATCACCTGTCTCAATGAAGGTAAGTCTGTACCTGTTGTACTGTGTTGTGTCTTCATCGCCTGTCTTAATGAAAGTAAGTCTGTACCTTTTGTAATGTGTTCAGTCTTCATCACCTTTTCAGTGAAGGTAAATCTGTACCTCTTGTACTGTGTCCTATCTTCATCACCTTTTCAGTGAAGGTAAATCTGTTCCCATCGTTTTTGCTGCACTGTCTTATCTGTGCTAAGCTCGTGACATTTTATCACATGCAAAATAACTCAACATTATAAGTCTGTGTCTGTGTTTACAGATTTTACATCAAAAGTGAGAGGCTATGTGTGGAGAGTAGACATAAAGACGCTAGCCGAGCAGTATAAAGATGAATCATCACGTAAGTTGTACAGTTTACCTGTCAGTAAATAAGACGTCTTCTCTTCTATTTCAACTTGTTTTATTACATAACTACATTATTATCAGTGTAAAACTGTAACACCCAGTTCATAAAATTTTACTATATAAGTAATATTGCTTGGTGGAGATTTGATTGACTGTCGAAGGTTCCAATTATTTACATTGTGACGTCATGGCTTCGTGGCATCATACCCTGTAATGCCAACAGAGAAAAATATTTACATTGTGACGTCATGGCTTCGTAGCATCATACCCTGTCATGCCAACAGAGAAAAATATTTACATTGTGATGTCATGGCTTTGTGGCATCATAATGCCAACAGAGAAAAATATTTACAATGTGATGTAATTTTTTTTGTGGCATCATACCCTGTAATGCCAACAGAGAAAAATATTTACATTGTGACATCATGGCTTTGTGGCATCATACCCCATAGCACCAACAGAGAAAAATATTTACATTGTGACGTCATGGCTTCGTGGCATCATACCCTGTAATGCCAACACGGAAAGATGTGACAAGCAAAGATATTATTGATTAGATTTTGGTATCATTCTAAGAAAATCTGTAGGGGTATAGAGCCAATGCCGTTCTTTTCGTAGTGTTCCCTAGCTTGGATACCTCCAGGTATGCAGGGAAATTGAGAAATAGTGGTAACTAAAGGGTAATCAATCGCCACAAGTCCTGGGTACCAGAAGAGTATAGTCCTGAAGAAGCCCACATGTTCAGGCGAAACCAGTAGATAGATTGTAATATTCTTCTGGTAACCTGGACTTGTTGCATTTTAAGAAAATGATTATTTCATGAATATTTGCTTAGTACATACCTTAGTCATACCTTAGTCATAAACAGAATTTTTCATTCATTTCCATTTATGATGAGATTTATGATCCTTGTTACAAATTTTTCATTTTACCTCCAGAGGCTTGGTGAAATGAAGAATTCTATGGCTTGTTTTGTAGATCTTGTATACTATTGTATAATCCTCTTTTTATGTTGTATATAAAAAGTACTTACATTTCCATATTACTTATCTGATATACTATAATTTCAGTTTACATAGACCAGACCCATGCCGACCATTTATTCCACAAGGTCAAAGTACTGTGCTTTATTTTGACCACCGAAGGAAAACTGGGCGGAAAGGTTCAGATTGTCAACAACACGTGGGCGAGACGCTGTAACAAAGTATTATATGTCTTGTGTACAAAACGTGAATCCCCTGATCTTCTGTCCACATGTTCTGTTGGTGAGAGTAAATATCACCTAACAGGTAAAGTCCGGTTTGCTATCAGACATTCCTATGAACATTATATACAGAACTATGACTGGTTTTTAAAGGCCGATGATGATACATATGTAATCATGGAGAACCTGCGATATTTATTATCAAACTATCCCACCAACAAAGCTGGATATCTTGGCTACCACTTCAAAGTACACATGAATCAAGGATACATGAGTGGCGGGGCTGGCTATGTTATCAATAGACAGGCCCTTAGACAGGTGGTTGAGCAGGGATTCCAACAAAACGGTTGTCTCGAAGACGGTGGCGACGAGGATGTAGAAATCGGTAGATGTCTTCAGTCATCCAGTGTACAAGTGTTTAGCTCACTGGATAAGTTTGACAGAGAGACCTTCCATACAGATAAACCTTGGCAGCATATCTGGGGAATTCCACCTGGTTACCTTAAGTTATATTCCAAAAATGGAGTGGGAAAGGTAAGACTCTTAAAAAGGCAGATTTTCGTACAATTAACGGTATTCTACATCATGTGTGCATGCACGAACACTGTTATATTGCTTGCCTCATTTATCTCGGGTAGACTCCCCGAAATACCACAAAATCTCTACATTTAGTATACAAAATTAAATTCCTGACAATTGTGAACATGGATGACCTAATTTTGTTTTCCCCTGTAAAAATAAAGAAATTATAGACCTTATGGAATTTTTATGACTTCGATAGGAAAATTGAATGACATACACCATTAGTGTCTATATATAGGCATGAAAACAATGAAAGAATTAAAACAAAAATATTTAACCTACAAATACATTTACATAATTTTGAAGGTAGGAAGTAGGGTACATTTTATTGATACTGTTATTTACAGGGAGCTGAGTGCTGTAGCCAGTTTACCGTTTCCTATCACCATGTCGATGCTGCTACCATGGCGTTTATGGAACATATGCTTTATAGGACTAGTGTGTATGGACGAAATGGACTAACAAACGCTTCTGATGTCTTTCCGCCACGATTTCACCGGGCCGGTTGAAATAAGTCATTGCCACTAAGACTGGCCATGAAGTATTTCACTTCCTTCCTCCTAATTGTAGAGCAAATCCTCTAATGTCATTCCCAGAAAAATACCACAGTTATATTTAGAATTAAGTACAAAATATGGAATTTCAGATATTTTCCTACTTCTCATCTCTTCAATTATTTATGTTTTATTAATTCCAGGAAGATCTGGTCAATCTGTCAGAAAATATCCAGAAGTAAGACTTTGGAAAGATTTTTAAGTAGCCTGACAAATAGCTATTTGAGTGTTTCATTTTAAATTCAGCATTAATGTTAAAGAAATTAATAAAATTTGTCCTCCATTTGGGGATAGGACAGTGAGATCTCATCACAAGGGGAAAGATTTTTAAGTAGCCTGACAAATAGCTATTTGAGTGTTTCCTTCTTAACAATTTTCCCAAGATAATTGAGACTCCCTTATGTGATCTGAAAGGGGATGATATTGATAAGTTTTTAGTACATCGTAAACTTGTGATATGAAATATTGATATTCCAATAGGAGAAAGCTATAAAGGATTTTGAAAGTATTGATGAAATTATGATCCAGTTGTATCTTTCACGTATGTTGTAGTTGGAGTGTCGTTGATTAATTTTATTACGATGTGTATAGTTGATATGACAGGATTAAATTGTAATCAATATGTTTTCAGCTCCCATGGCAACAAACCTATGACTTATGTGATAAGATTGAACATTCCTTTTGAACAACTTCTCATACAAAACCATAAATCCTTGAAAATGAGGTATAACACTACAATCAGTTTCTAGCTGGATATATAGTAAATGTACAAATATTTGCAGTAGTATTTTTTTTAGCAATTTTTGAGCTTAGAGTTTTATGCTGACATATAATTGCACTACTTATGACTTCTGTATATTCACAGCTATTGCTAGTGATATGCAGATTCTCCATTGTGCTAATTGCGTAAAGTGCATTAAAATTTGATTGCACAAACTAAATTAATTGGTTTTATTGTGGCATTGAGCTACCAGAAAAAAATAATGCAGGTACATACATGTTAATGTTTTGAGTTTAGAAAAATGAGGTAGAAAGACATATTTTGTTTCCAAATCAGATATTTTAGAGGAATATTTTTCTATCAGTATTGTTTATCATTATCTATATTTTATCTATATGGTAGGTTTTTATGTAATTGATACACCCATGTGCTTTGTGATGGATATATATACCGGGTACTGATGTCTCTGCCATCATGTCTCACAGAAGCTTATAGATTAGGTTGTTACAATACCAAGAGGTCAAGGTCACAAAAATAGGTTGTGAATATATCACATGATATTATTGGATGTGATAAAAGAAGTTGTGTTTCTATTGTATTATAGACAATCAATAATGCTGGTCACAACATTTCATTTTTTATGAAGATTTATGGCAACATTCAAGATTGATAAAATAAACCTCACAAATCTTGTGATAATATAAGCTGTTTTCTTCATTGTTTTGTCATGATGAAGGAACAGAGTCAGCATAAGTTATTTTCAGTATGGGTTCACACATCAGCATTAAAAAGTTCAGTATTTCAGAAAGTGTATCTATAAGTGCTGCAGCCACCAGATTTGGTAGATAGTTTTTGGTGGTGTACAACTTCAGTCAGAACAAAGGTACAGATCTGGATAAACTGTTCAGATTGACTCAATATGTTGTACACACCTTCAACAAGCATTGTTATACAAGATAATGTATTTTTTCATTCTATCAGCATTTTTACTCCATTACTTGTATTGCGGCACTAGTCATGTTAGAGTCAAAGCCACGATTGTGATTTACGTAATTTCACTGATTTTTCACGTTGTTTTAGTATTTTAATATCATTTTCAAACCACATGGCTTTACAATCATTTGCCTTTGTGTACTATTTGCTGTTACCTTCTCCTAAACTTCATAGGATAATTTCCGTTTTTTTATGGGTTAATACAAAAATATGTCTCTTTTTGATAAGAAATAGATGCTTGAAAGTATGTGTGTGTGTGTGTGTGTGTGTGTGTGTGTGTGTGTTACCAATGGTTTTTTTCACTACTTACATCTGTATAATTAGGTAATGGTATTTTTGAAAAGAAATGTGAGACAATGTTGGACCATAGGAAGACCTGTAACCTACTAACCAAGAAGGTTGAAAGGGTATGGTGACATATTTCCTTTGATTGATGAGTTCTGTTCTTTGATGGAACAAGAAGCATATGAGGTACATAATCTGTTGACATCATATATCAAGGGAGATAACCAATGTAAATATATAGTTACAGCATTAACATTTTAACATAACTGATTGATTTATGTGCCCCTGCCATAAGATGTTGTTGGGGGTGGGAGGGGGGAGGGGGGGCATGTTACCTTGCCTATGGCCATTGCATCTTGTCATGTCCTGTTTTAGCCCAATTCGATGTAACCACCTAGCCACTTCATTCGTTGACAGATTTTGGTCAAACTTTATACAAATATCCATTATGAGTATAGTATGAACAGTATTGTGCTTCAGTGGCCCAAGTTCAAGGCCAGGATCACCCTTGCTATATGTAAAAACATCATCAGCCTGTTTAATTTCAAAACTTAGCAACTTCATTCTTTCATGGAATTTGTGAACTTTTATGCAAAGATCAAGATTGAGTTTTTGGACATTGTGTTTCAGGGGTCAAAGGTCTTTGCTAAAATATTTTTTTTTTTACCTAGACACCAGAGAAAATTATTCCATACTTATCAATTTTTTTTCTGCATTGTGTATCATGATGTGATTGTAATTTCTATATATGCTGTTTGTGTTTGTCTGCATTTAGGGGAGTAGCCCATTTTTGTTCTTGTATAGAGAGAACACTCATTTATCTGTGTGTAACAGTTCTATAATAATTATTATATAACTTAGGTTTATCTTGTACCTGTATAGAGAGAACCCTGATCTGTGTGAGTTCTATAATAATCATTATATAACTTAGGTTTATCTTGTACCTGTATAGAGAGAACCCTGTCTTATCTGTGTGTAACAGTTCTATAATAATTATTATATAACTTAGGTTTATCTTGTACCTGTATAGAGAGAACATTCATTTATCTGTGTGTAACAGTTCTATAATAATAATTATATAACTTAGGTTTATCTTGTACCTGTATAGAGAGAACACTCATTTATCTGTGTGTAACAGTTCTATAATAATTATTATATAAATTAGGTTTATGTTGTACCTGTATAAAGAGAACCCTGTCTTATCTGTGTGTAACAGTTCTATAATAATCATTATATAACTCAGGTTTATGTTGTACCTGTATAGAGAGAACCCTGACTTATTTGTGTTAGTTTTAAAATAATGGCCTGCAATATGTTGAAATATTTGTAAAAAAATGCAGTCGGTTTAATCTAAAATGTGAAAAGTAAAAATTTTGGTTACTTTTACTCTCTGTTTTGTTATAAGCTTAGCCTACTCACAGCACAAAAAAAAAAAAAAAAAAAACAACTGATACGGTGATTCTTGTCCTTCTTTTAGGTCATCTCACTTGAAGGGTCAGGATGACATATAGCCATGTGTTTTGTCTGTCATTGTGTGCCATCTGTGTGCGCTGAGCTTAACTTTTTATTCATTGACTTGTTCTTAATTACCAACATCCACAGGGTGCTGATATTGGGCCTCCTTCATGATGGGATGATGAAGGGCTACAAAGGTTTTTAATATGAATGACCTTGACCCGCTTTAACGTCACATGAATCAAATATGTTTAAATGTATAAACAACTTCTCAATAACCAGAAGGCCCGGGGACTGATATTAGGCTTGTAGCATGATGGGATGAAGGGCTACCAAGTTTGTTATATGGATGACCTTGACCCGCTTTCATTGTGACAGGGGTCAAATATGTTAAAAAGCGTTTGCAACTTCTTCTCAAGAACCAAAAGGCCAAGGGTCTTGATGTTGTGTCTGAAGCATGTTTTTTCAACAAGCAAAATGTTCGGAGTAATGGCATTTGTGTAGTGCATGTATAAAGAAATGATTTCAAGTGTGCACGAAAATGTCTTTTTGAACCAACCAATGTCTTCTGTGTGAGCTGTAGTTAAGTTTAGGCCACCATCATCAGATAGAAGGCTATTCAAATCGCCCTGCGTCTGGTCCGTTGCTAATTCTTGAGAAGTACAGGATGGATCTTTCTCAAGCTGCATATGTAGGTTCCCCTAGTTATGCCCGTTTGATTTCGGGATTGATCAAATAAACAAAATGGCCGACAGGTGGCCTTTTTGGATTTTTCAATGAAATTTGTTATCCTTGTGTTTTGTATGGATCTCTCTTAAATTTCATATGTTGGTTCTCATGGTCTCTCGTTGTGCCCACCTAATTTTAGGACTTATCAGAATAACAAAATTGTCGACAGACGGCCATCTTGGATTTTGTTTTTGAAAGTTTGTATCACTATTTCTTAAGAAGTATCGTATAAAGCTTTCTCAAATTTCATGTGTATTTTCATTTGATTCCTAGTTGTGCCTGTTTGATTTTGGTACTGATCAGAAAAAACAAAATGGCCCACAAGCGGCCATCTTGTATTTCTCCAAATAAAGATTGTTAGTGCTATTTCTTAAGAAGTACTGAATGGATATTTCTCAAATTTCATACGCATGTTTCCTTTTGTCTCTCCTTGTGCCAATTTGATTGTGGAGACTGATCAAAAGAAACAAAATGGCTTCCAGGCGGCCATTTTGGATTTGGCAGGTAAAAATTATCATTGCAATTTTTGCAAAGGTGTGTCCAACTGTCTTAACTTTAAGAGCAAAACCAGAGATGAGAAAAGAAGGGAAAAGATCCAGCTACCAAAAAGCGAATAAAGATCAAACAATGGTGGGCGTCAAAATCCCTCCGCGATCTCCTGTTATGATCATTCTGTTATTTGTTCATAAGCATGGACGAGAAAACGATTAAGAGTTTGAAAGATATTACTTGGGTATAAAGAATAATTTTGTTTTTCTTTCCCGTTCACAAATGCAACCTATATTTAAAGACGTTGGCAATTCTTCTTATCCTGCAACAGTATTGAAAATACAGAATAACGTAATTTCAACGGTTTTTTGGGGGCTATTAAATCGATGCACGTCAAAATAACTGCTCCGCGTGATAATATAATGCGCATACTTCAGAGGAAGTATTAAAAAGCAACTTTCCAAATTTTCGAAAATAAATTAACAAGCAAGTAAGGTTATTTAAAAAGTGAATG